CAGTATTCGTATTTGGTGGTAGCATACAATTTTCAACCAGGGAGTGACTCGAGAACGTTTAGATGGAACAGAGTTTCCACCATAGGCGAGCTGCTGTATAAGTATAAAAGAGGGTGAATAATGTGGTAAATAATAATAATAATAATAATAATAATAATAATAATAATAATAATAATAATAATAATAATAATAGTAATAATAATCATTTGAATCATTTGATTGTTAGTTGAAGTAAGTAAAGTAGTTTCCATAATTATAGGCAGTTCATCGTATTTGTGTGTGGGCTGTGATACTGCCCGGGTGCTCAGACCGAAGCAGGTGGTTATCTTAGGGGGCCACTCCCCGAGCCTTTGACCTAAAGGTCCGACCCACAAGGCAGTGGAGCATCGTAAGGAGATGCAGTTCCATGGTAGCGGGTGACCAACGATTGGTTCATACACCATTTGTTCCCGAAGGATACCGGAGCCCATGTGCACCATTGGTTTGGAATCCAGATAAAGCACCGGACATTCGCTTTTCGTCCTCTCATTTTCGTAAACACCCCTGTCACGAAAAGGTAGTGAGCAGGACTTCCCTGGCAGAGGCTATATACGCGTAGCTGTGTGAGAGCATTTGGGGGCACATATGAGGTAGAAGTGAACCACGTGGTCTTAGATCGTTGTGAGTAGGATTATCGATCATTTTCTTTTTTTAGGAGTTCTCTAAGCATGCCTGTGATTCGTTTTTCTGTTGAATCAGTCAAATCTTTTTTGGACTTATCTACCTTGGACCTAAGTTGATCGTCTAGGATTGACTTCATCTTAGTAACATAATCAGCTGTATTCATTAGAACGACACCTGAACCCTTATCTGGTTGTAAAATCATCACCTAATTATTTTGCTTGATGTTTCTTAGGGCTATTAGATGTTTTTTGGATAGAATATTCGACTTTGGTGTCGAAGACACAAAGTATTGGTTGGCAATATCAACTAACTTTGATTTGAACCATCCTTTCTTTTCTTCATTCATTGGCTGCAAATCTTTTAACTAGTCAAACAGATTTTCGAATTGAGCTTCTGTATCAGTCCTGTCAGTATTTGTTTTTGGTATATGAAATGATTCCCAGTGATAAGGCTTCTGTTTCTATTCTGCTAGAATTTTTGTTCTTGCTCTTTTCAAAATGATAAAGGGAACTATGTGTATGAAATTTCATTATTTTAAATTAAACTGTCGTAACAAACAAATGTTAATAATTCACTGAATTATTTGATTATTCCTTCCTAAGAGAACTGTATATTGTTTACTATGACTAATTCTAATTGTGTTGTTGTGTTCTACATGATGTAAGTGCCAGTCATGGCCAGAACGACAATGACAGTTTCCAGTTAAGCCACCCAGCTCTTAGAACACATACGAATCTCCATCAGTTCAATTTATAATATTCACTCTATTTTGATCGATAACGTATTTCCATTTTGCAGACTAACTGTTCAGACTAATAAAAGTCAAGTGTAAGTAAGATGATCCCGGAGAAAGACGACGCTCTTATCTGTCCTCAGACCAGACGTTTAGAACTATGGGAGGAACACTTTAATAGCACTTCATCTGGCCTTCAGTTGCTCTACAACTACCACCCACCATTTCCAAACAGCCTGAATGGAACATTGAAGTAGGTCTCCCGACTCGAGCTGAAGTCCAAAAAGCTATAGCTAATCTGGTCCAGATGGATTGGCTCCAGATATCTTTAAAGATGGTGGTTTAGTCTTAGCAATTAGGTTGACTGATATTTTGGCTAAAATCTGGGAGCTGGACGTAATGCCATCTGACTGGTCACAATCACTGATTATCCCAATATATAAGAAGGGGTCCAAATCATCCTGTGATAACCATAGAGGGACTGGTTTGATTAATATAGCATCTAAAATACTAGCCTCAATAATTATCGGACGCCTAACTAAGACTCGTGAACTGCGGACACGAGAGAATCAGGCTGGTTTCAGACCTGATTGTGGCTGTATTGACCACATAATCACCATTCATCAGATTTTAGAACACAGGCATGATTATCGGCGTCTGACAATGTTAGTTGTTCTTGACTTGGAAGCAGCATTTGACTCTGTAGACCGAGTGGTTGTGTGAATGTCTGTCATTGATAGGCGTACCTCAGAAGTACATAAACCTTGTGAAGGCTCTTTATTCGAACACTACTAGTCGAGTCAGAGCTTAACCTCTAGATCACTGAGCCGGCCGGCATTCAACAGTGTTAATGTCTAACTTCAACTAATCCACGAAATTGAGCGACACATCCATCATTGTATTCAGTGAGTTACTATCTCACAACAGACCTGGTTGAACTCCACTGGTCACTACTTCTCACTAGAGCTCCAGGAAACACCTCTTGAAACTAGTCACTAGTGAGCATATGTTGATGAATATCAGGAGGGGTTTTGTGAATATTATTGTAATTTCAATAGTTGAGATGATGGGTTCGAATCTCATGAGGCGGGATCGTGGATACACACTGCTGAAGAGTCCTACAACAGGACGAAACGGCCGTCCAATGCATCCAGGTTTTCCATGGTGGTCTAGCTTCAGTCGATTCATGATCCCAACTATTGAAATCGATAATTCAACTGGTTAGATATAATTTTGTTAAGAGGTTTAAATCAATGAATGATCAATTACATGAGATTTGTATTATAGTTATTTAATATGATCATTACTTAGATGATATTTTGACATTCTAACAATTTTCATGTGGCTAATACTGTAAAGAGTAATATAAAGATTGTTTAGTTTGTAGATGTTCTGTTTACCAAAATGATAATTAAATCTACGAAATGTAGCGAAAATTATGTCATTGAAAAATGTATCATTCTTTATAATTCTGTCTCTCTCTCAAAAGTTTTTTAATCTATTGGTTATTAAGAAATTTCAATAGTTGAAATCATGAGTCAATTGAAGCTAGATCACCATGGAAAACCTAGGAGCACTGGACGACCATTTCGTCCTAGTATGGGGCTCCTCAGCAATGCTCACTCCTTCTGATATTAAGAAATGTTATTATTTTTATAGGTCACATGTGAACTCTTACATTAACTCTAAACTACAGTTTTGATTTATTTTAGTGCATTTTAATGTATCTTAACTTAATCGGAACTATTGTATATCGTCTTCCATATTAATATGTTCGGATATCTAATCCATACTCATTGAAATAAGACATCTGATGAAAATCTACCATGTTTTATATTCTCTTTGAGTTTTACCATTAGAATGTACTTATGTTGTAGTAAATAGAAGTGTTTTCTTAAAGTGTCCAACTCTGAAACGTTACTTCACGCGATTTGTTCCGTTCAGTTTTCGATTATTGTTAATTACAAACGATCGAGATTATTGTTGTACAAACGGAATCTAGGTAGTGATGAATATACATGACTCTTCAACAATAATCCTTAATTATAGGATGCAAAAAGAAGGCAATAATGCAGAAAAACACTTATTATTTACTACGTTATTATGGAATAGTGACTATTGAGTTATCTCTTTAGCTTTCGCATTCTTTATAAACACTTGTATCCTTCCATACATATACCTCTTTTACTCATAACATTGCAAATTAAATTCATGAGCATTTCTATCAATTGGCTTATATATACTCTCTAATTGTCTAATTATAATTTAGACACTTTTCGCCTTATATTAAGATCAACTGTGTCCTCAACTAATTTTGATTAAATGCTAGTATCCATATTCACCGCTATTTGGTCTTTCATCCACTCTTCATAAGCATGTATTAAATATACACATCTTAACTATAACTTGTAATTGACTTTTAATTTCTACGCTGTGTTAACGTGATTAATGGATAGAATGTTTACGAAGTTAAAGATACATATTTGAGCAAAATCACCCAGTTGTCGTTGTCACTTAGCTGGAGTCAATAAGTCGTATTAAAGTCTCCTGAAGCGAATGTCTCAATATTGTCTACTATTACAAGTTAATCGTATTCTTAGTTAGTGGCTCTGATAGCTACTATCGGAAAATACGGTCTAATACAAAATATCTTCCTGTATTGTATTTTGATAAAGCATATTTTCGATAAGCTGAGATAATCGGTCAATTCAGATCAAAGCAAAATAAGTGAGATGCTGGCAGGTTCATGCTATTAATCAAGACTTGGTTTAACTCTTTAGGGAAACGAATATACGATGTTCATTGAAAAATTGTCCTAATTTTGTGAGGGAGACAAGTACATATTTATGAATGGGTTTTTTACGTATAGTTTGATTCGGTTAGCTTGTAAAATTTCCTACTCACTCTTGATTTTTTCATATCCTCTGATTGGTTTCGGATATATGAAGCATTTATATCATTGTCGGACTTAGACAATCGCTCAACACAATAATGTGGTCAATTTCAAGCAAATTAATTACAGTATCTTTATATTTATGTTAAATATCTTAATTTGGTTACAAAAGGAGATTTTAGAGAATAAGATCGATGGTTTTATAGTCCATGTATTTAATTTTTAACCATTAGGTGGCAACTCTTAACTCCGCTTCATCTATTATGATCTGAGTAAATAGGTACTATTGGAATAGACTATCAATAAAATATGTGACTCAAAATGATGTACTCAGCTTTCCATTTCATTACTGAATTGAAAAACCGGGGAGACTGTAATTTATGGACGAACAAATCACGTATAAGGTAACAGGTCTCGGATTTCGGCGCGAAGTCCACTCATTCATTCGGATAAATGGGGTTTTGGCATTATAACTGATGTCAGTTCGTGAAGAAAACCCAAAATCTAATTTCTAACCATAATCATCAACTGTAAATCATGATTCTGATTCCTCTCACAGGTTTATAACTCTCATTTGGTCCTAGCTATTAGGTGGACACTCTCAAGATCAGTCTGACTTCGCTCAAAGGTCGTTCATAAATTATAATCTCACCGAAAAACCTTCCGCTTAAATTTTAAATTAATTTAATAAAACATTGTTTTAAATTTCTTCACCAATCTTAACATATATTCATGAATATCCTTTTAACAGATATGTGGAAAATAACTTGTAATACGTTTGATAGGATTTCGATCAACCGATAACATATCAATCCAATGTTGAGTTGTTCTCTCAGTCACAACACTTTGATCGAAGTTCTCAGATTGTTTATCGCTATCATCTTCATCATGATTGTTTGTATCTTCCTTTGGCAGAGTATCTGGAAGTTTTTGATTCTGTAATTCATTCTGACATGGTATAGAATTACTTATTGGGACTGTTTCAGTTTCCTATAACAGAAAGGAAGTGTTTCAATTAGGGTTTTGACTTCAGTTCATTGGTCACACACGTTGGCTTTAAATTATTTTCTTACATATAAATTACGTAAAAAAAACTAAAATATAATATTTAAAGGCACTGATGCATGTCAGAAACGATACAGTGACCGGTACTAATGAGTTTAAACCTGTTAGGAGAGGTGTCAGTTATATGACTTCGTGACTAATGCTTCTTTAGTCTCAAAGTTTTAACCTTGTAATGTTTTAGCAAATCGCTACCAAACGGTAAACCGATTGGCTCATCAGAAGATAACAACATATGATGAAAGTGAAATTCAAATAATCTAAAGCAACATAAAAACACAAAACTGTCCAGAAATTTCAGTAGTAATGGGACAAAGTAAAATTTAGCTGAGAATTCTTTTTCTATAATGATATCGTTTTTAAGTTATTACTGGGAACAGTCAGCTATACCATGTTTGGTAACGTCCATATGGGAATAACAACTCACATGGCCCAATAAAATGTAAGTTACATTGAACGTATTCCCAGTGTTTTTTTTAAAAATCTCTAACTACATCTCGGAATACTCACCTTCATGGTTCATGATAAACATCTTACAGCGCAATTTTTAAGATAACTTGATTGTTTCTAGTCACTTGGAAATCCAGGAAGTAACTTCATTTTATCTGTGCAGTTTATTCAAACATCATACATAATATGGATCTTAAAGGTTACTAAGACTGAAAAAACAATCATTATCCATAAGTTATACCTGAAAATTTGTATTCAAAGTAAATTTTATAATTCTACTGAACTGGTCTTTCTCATTTTATATTCTTAATTATTTCGCTTTATGTTCACATTGATTTCATCTATTTATAGTCAGTAATGGGTTGTGGCGATTGTTGAATTTCATTGAAATCGTTAACCGACCTAAGTTGAAGTTAGAAATCAAAAACCTTTGGTTCCGACTCAGTAGTCTAGAGGTTCAGTGTTTTCGAGGGGGTTGGTGGGTGCACATTGATGAGGGATCTTGTGCTAGGACGAAACGCCCGTCTAGTGTTTTCAGGTCCCTAATGGTAGTCTAACTTGGATCGGTTCATGACAGGAAGGCCTGAGTCAGTAACAACACATGTGAATCACTTAAGAAAATGAACAACTGCGACTAAAGCAAATATTCAACTACTTGGCTGAATAATCAGTGACATCATTTTAAAGTACAGTATGATTGACGGAATATGCACCGTAATAGTCGTACATCTTTTGAGCATATAGCTGTCTTGAATAAGCAGTGCATGAAATAAATACCATGAGAAGCTGTTTTATGTACTGTGTTCTAGATAACTCAGTCGGAAATATTATTGTTTCACTAAATGGTTTTATGAATAATAACTTAATTTGTGCTAATCCTAAGTTCAATTTTTAAGTAGATAGCATTCAGATAGCATTCTCTTATTAAAACATTTGGAAGATAAGTCGATCAAAAGTATCTGGAAACATTCAAACTACATCATTATTACTTTCTAAATTCAAATAAAATAGATGTATCCGTGTTATAGTTTTGTCTGAGGTAAATCACGTGACTACAGATACTCTTGTTTGATCATTTCCTTAAGAATCACATATCGATGACTAGAAGTGGTACTGATAGAAATATATACCCAAGGATGAAGTCATTTATGTATAATTCATAAGATATATGTCTGTTTTCTTTCACTAGCTACCCAGCGTAGGTTGTCTGAATACATTAATTTAGTATACAGAATTTATATGTTATGTAGTTTGAAATATTCGATAGGTAGACATCATCCTATTGATTCGTGTTAGCTGATACTTGTGAAGCATTTTTGCAATCTTTAGGGAAGTGATGCTCCCTATCAGTTCGGATTTAATTCAACGGGCTTCACAATCTAAGATGTTACAACTGAGCTGTATGAACCTAACTGAGATATTTATAATTGAATAATCAATGAGTAGTGATCACTGTCATATTTGTTTGGTCTTTTAATGTTGATCAAATTATATCAATCACGAATTTATAGAAAATCAATAGTCGAAGCATTCAGATAAACGGTGTATTTATAATAATGAGTTAGAAGTTAAAAGTAGACATATTATCTTGGTAATGTCAGTTTCTGGTATACACTTCTGTAGTTATCCTTATCTGACATCTTTAATAGGACATTTAAAGAGGGAGTACACATGCTATAGTAAAACCGAATGTTTGATGAATGCCATTACATCTATTGAATAAGTTTTGAATTCAATCTTTGGATTTTCAAACTCCAAAAAACGTCATTCATTTACAAAAGTAGCATTATAAGTTGTAGATATATAACTTTCTAAAAGATTGTAATATAATTTTGTCAATAAGAAATAAGATAAAATTGCGTTTAATTGTCTGATCCCATAGAAACGTTATATTATTTGTACAAATACCCACTAAACAGTATATAGATATTCGTTGTGAATCACTAGGTTGACTTTTATAAATAAAACGAAAATTCTAGTCAATGGTTAAGATCATGAGTCAGTTGAAGCTAAACTACCATGGAAAACCTGGAAGTACTGGACGGCCGTTTCGTCCTATTGTGAGACTCCTCAGCAGTGCGCATCCACTCATGATCTTAACCATTGAAATTACTACAGTCTCCACAAAACCCATCTGATATTAATCAACACATGCTCACTAGGGACTGGCTTCACGAGGTATATCCTGGAGTTCTAGTGTGAAGTAGTGACCAGTGGAGTTCAACCAGGTCTGTTATGAGATAGTAACTCACTGAAGACACTAATGGATGTGTCACTCAATTTCGTGGATTAGTTGAAGTTAGACATTAACACTGTTGAATGCCGGCCGGCTCATCAGTCTAGTGGTTAAGTGCTCGCGCGCGAAACCAGTAGATCCTGGGTTCGAATATCGCGGGGGGCAAGGTCATGGATACACACTGCTGAGGAGTCCCGAAATAGGACGAAACGGCCGTCCAGTGCTTCCAGGTTCTCCATGATGGTCTAGCTTCAACTGACTCATGATCTTAACCACTGAAATAACTACAATCTCCACAAAACCCATCTGATAAAAATTCTAGTTATTTATTTTAACCAAACTATTTAATGTTAATACTTGTTATAAACCAGCAATTGATTCGATGTACAATTGAATTAACTGAACTAATTGAAATGACAATCTAATTGAGAGAATGGATCTATCAACACTAACTGATGAAATTTAATTTCTTTTTTAAAAAAAAAGGAAAATTAACTAATTATCGGATTGAATAAATAAACTTTTACTCCTTTGCAAAATCTTTCAGCGAACAAAAAAGGATCATAAGTTATTCAACAATTAAGAAATCAATAATCCTTTATTAAAATTTTAGTCATATAATATCCAGACACTTAAACGTCCAATATTAATACAATGAGAAGTATTGTCTATTGATTAGTTCTCTAATTAGTTCCGGTAAACAGATCCGAATTTAGGAAATAATTTAAAATGGTAAAATATTGTATGAAAGTTTATGTTTGATCTGTGATTTTCCTGGTAATTATTGTTCTTTAATAATTGGATTCATGAGTCAATTGAAGCTAGTCCTATTTTGGGACTCCTCAACAGTGTGAATCCACGATCCCGACTCGCGAGGCTTGAACACAGGACCTACGAGTCTCGCGTGCGAGCACTTAACCTCTAGACCACTGAGCTGATCGGCATCCAATGGTGTTAGTGTCTAACTTCAACTAATCCATGAAATTGAGCGACACATCCATTAGTGTCTTCAGTGAGCTACTATCTCATAACAGACACGGTTGAACTCCATTGGTCACTGCTTCTCACTAGAACTCCCGGAAATACCTCTTGGGGACCGTCACTAGTGAATATATGATGATCATAATCTGTTATAAGATGAGCAAATTATCATAGATCTGTAGTTCTGTCTGTTGGGGGAGTTCCGGAAAACTCGAAAAAAGCCAACGAATGCTCTGAACACGCTGAGAAGTATCTTATCCAAACAACTTTCACTAGAAGTTTTTGCCAGAAACATCTAGAAAGTGAAAAGTCGCATGCTGAGTTTCTGATTGGATGATTACTCATATTGCTACTATGTTTAGTAGCGTTCTAGAATTTTACGGAAAACCAGGGCCATCTGAAATACTATAAAAACCCTAGATTTTCTGTACATAAATGAACCTTTGCGTAAAACTTTCCTTCCATATGTCGTGCCTTTTCTTTCGTGTTCAAATCACTGTGTAGATTTAGCCTGAGGGTTACTAGAAGAGCTTAAGAACAGAATTAACGTTCAATTAGAAGACTTGTCACTATCTTATCAATCTAAAATGATAGCTAAATTGTTTAATGTCACATTGTACTAGGACAAAATCTCAAAATATTCACGTTCATTAAATATATCAATGTTTATTGTCATATACATTGAATTTAACCCAGACTAGATGAAATCAGTAGTTTACTCAGGTCATGTTCAATCACATGTCCATTATGAATAAAAAAATAGTCACAAGAGCTGTCTAGCTCAAGTATATAAGTATACAAATACAGGCAACGGTCAGCTATCACAGTCAAGGTAGTCACTTTAACTAACTGAAAAGTCATAAAAAGCTTTTATTAGTATTAGTATATAGCCTTGTTTTTAATTCACTTCTTACTTTACACTTGTTTGTTATGATTAACGTAAGGTTAATGTATAGAGACAGGAATAAGTGGTACTGATCGAATAAGTAGATGTACAATTTTACTTTACAAAAAATAACAAATGCCTATCTAACATCACAGACTTCACCGTCGTTTCTAAATGATCATTCATACAAAGCTTTATGGCTGAAATTTATCACTGGAAATTAACGCTACTAGAATTCTTTGGTTATCTTTTGATATAAGTTGATATGCTTATAAAAATATTATATAATCACCACGATACAACCAAAAGTCATCAACAAAACTAACTTTTGACAATAGGCATATAAAATTCTTACATCAAGGTTTTAAATGTTAAGCTATTTTTTCTTATATTTTAAACTAATCATTTAGTTTTCAATTATAAAGCATAATGGTGGATGTGTCGCTCAATTTCGTGAATTAGTTGAAGTTAGACATTAACACCATTGGATGCCGGTTAGCTCAGTGGTCTAGAAGTTAAGCGTTCAAGCGCGAGACTGATAGGTTCTGTGTTCGAACCTCGCGAGCCGGGATCGTGGATGCACACTGCTGAGGAGTCCCATACTAGGACGAAACCGTCAGTCAGTGCTTCCAACTTTTCCATGATGGTCTTCCTTCAATCGGCTCATGGTCTTAACAACTGGAACTTAATTATATATATAATTTACAATAGTGAAATAGTACTCATCGAATAGATACGTTACGTAATAATCATATAATGGCATCGATTATAAACTAACATGGAGTAATTGGAAGAAGGAGGATTATAATTATTAAAATAATTATTCAAAAATAAAGCAGTTGCTACGTTGTGTAGTTTATAGAAAAAGGAACTAACAAAATATTTTGATGAATGTTCAGTAGTTATAGAAGTTATGTAAGGATCAAAAGGCGAATATAAAGAATAAGTAAAATACAAAAAGTGGAAGAAATATGCTAATAGTTTATCAAAGTTCTGCTACAAACTCCCCTATACTGATGGCCAAGGTAGAGAGAATGGTTGTAAAAACTACAAATCTCTATGTGGTTTTATTTATCTATGATAAGCAACTAAATATATTCCTAATATTATATGAGTTTACCTGATCTAGTGAGAGAGAAAGAGAAAAATCAACTTAGTTGAACGGGATATTATAGACATACGTGAATATAGACATTCACTCTTATGTTATTAATCTTTGTTTACAAACTTACTAGCCTAGTCGACAAGCAATGTAAAATGCGATTGATTTTTTGAGTTAATAACTATGTAAAACCCTAGAACTTCGATTCACTGTAGAGTGATATTCATAGATTATTGATGGATCTCAAACGAGAAAACTAAAACTATTTGGTTTTCAATGAGTTGATCAACAGGACTCTACATTTTTAACATCAATCCACTCACGATATTACACAGCCATCATCCATTGTGAATGGCTATATTTGTTTTATCTCTGACATGGCTGAACATCTACACAGTGCCTGCTGGATTTCAATGCTTATATAACCAAAGTCAATGTGGATAATGTGGATTTATTTATCATTCATAAAGACGAATGACTGAACTATAATTTCTGGATAAAATATATCCTATATGATTTTTGCTCGAGATTCTTTAATGCGTATGGCTACAGGGTATTCTTGAATTATAGCTCATATCGGTTCGTAATGAAATCTCTATTCTTAATTATTAACCTTGTCAATTAGTCGTTACTGTTGACTTTAATTCCTAATCCTATTTCTAATCTAATAAAAAGTTGATATCTAATTAGATCACTTTGGGAATCACTGAAAGATTACTCATAAATTTTAGTCTCATCCAACGAGTTCTAAATGATTATTTATCAATCATAAGTGATATTTGTTAAAAGTGTCTAGAATTATTGAGCGACTCTACTAGACAAACAATATTACTAAAGAATACTTACTTTAACCGATTGATTACATGTTTAATTATAAATTGAACAGAAGTAAACTATACTACTGAAACAACCTGTTTAAAAAAATGTTGGTTTTTTGGGTAATTTTTTAAAGTAATGATAAGAAACCAATCGTATCTTATAAAGAGTTTAGTAAAACTTACCAATATTTAGTTGCTAAGACATTTAAACTTAATAAACATTGCAACAATAAAAAATAGGGATAAACTAAAGAGATTCTTAAAATAACCATAAGAAAGTGATGAATTTTTCATGAAAAAAAATATTAGAAAATAGACAGAATTAAAAATGTGCGTAATATTTAAACATTTTTCAAGGTAACTTAAAAGTTTTGGAAATCTGAATACAGTAAATTATCCGATTAAGTACTGATTATCTTGGTTGTAAAGCATCCCTTCACTCTAACCTTAACTTCTGACTCTAATCCCTAGACCAAACCCTTAACCCTAAATGTCTTTTGGTTTATTATGATTAAGAATTCACTTGTCTTGAAACTAACTTAATTTTATATTATAAATTAACGTACAACCAGACATGTGTTTTCTGATCGGCTGAAAATTCGTTTAAGTTTATCAGTAAGGTTCACTTACTTACTTACGTACTCCTGTTACCCCTCGTGGTGGAGCATAGGCCTCCCACCAGGATTTCAATTTAATTTGTTTATTATGAATAGAGATGATTTTTAGCAAGGTTGTTTGCTTCGAGATGGGGTTGTTGACCTCATGTTCAACCCCCTCGTTTGTGTGGGCTTGAGACCGACAGTAAACCCAGAAGAGCTACAGGCGGAGTTTGCTAATAATACAAATTTAACTATAGCTCACAACATATGTAAACCATATAAGCTGTTTCTTCAACATACGAACGAATTGTGATGTTGATTATCAACCCAGAAGAAGACGCTTAAACCAGTTCACGTTACGAAATGTTGGAATAATTTGATTTGCGTCGGTAAACTTTTTATGAATTTAGTATCATGTGAAAGCGTAAGCAGACTATTTAGTAGATGTCTATTGGTTATTCTCATTATTTTATCACATAAACAAATCAATTCAAACTTTTTAGCACCTTTGATTATACTACTTAAATCAACTGCATAATTCGTGAGGTAATGATGAGCAGCTACTTTCGAAAAAATCAATCATGCTGTCCATACTATTATTATCAATCTTATTATTGTCATTGTTATTATTATTTCCATTTATATTTGGACTAGAGACAGTATCAATGTATTAATTTTGAAAAATGTATTTCCATGATGATTATTAAAAGAGAACCCCACTCTTTTTTAACATTAATGTTGAGAGAGTAAAACGATAAGCTAATTTGTAAGTTCTCCTTAAATTGTAACCTCATGTGTTGGTCTCTGGAGTGGCTTTAGTGGTAATGATCTTTATAATTTTATTTACTTTTGTTTTAGTCGTCAGTTTCATTGTTACTGCTTCTTTCTTGTTTACCTTTTCGTCCTCCCCTGGTTTTTGTCCTCCTGAACTTAATTCTGTTTCTTTTTATATCTATTGATTTTATCCCACTGATTTTACAGGACGATAAGCATCTCGGTTTTTTATTTTCTCTTTAATATACATGACGGTGTTATTTTACAAGAAATTGTGTCTCGCGGTTGTTACTTAGACGGAAATGTTATACTATTTTTTAAGTTAAACCAGACAACAATCTGTTTAAAAAAATCGAATCATTTGCCTTGTTGTAAATCTTGTTATCGTACGAAATGAACTTGTAAGTTTTGTTTATATATATATATAATGAAGACTTTGACATCTGACATCAATCACGGAACACAATAGACAGTTTGCATGCAGATAGACAATTCGGACTTCACAGATGACCTAGCCCTTCTATTCCATACACAGCAAGAAATGCAGTTCAGAACAACCAATATAGCAGCAGCCTCTGCATCAGTAGGCCTCAACATACACAAAGGGAAAAGCAAGATTCTCGAATACAACACGAAGAACACCAACCCAGTCTCAATTTATGGAGAAACTCTGGAATATGTGGAATCTTTCACGTACGTGGACGGCATCATCGGTGTACAAGAAGGATTTGATGTAGCGATATGAGGATGGGGATTGGCAAAGTAATGGCCGCGTTCCTATAGTTGAAGAATATGTGAAATTCAAATTACCTGCCAACCAATATGAAAGCCACAATCTTCAACAAGAACGTCGAGACAGTTCTACTGTACGAATCTGAAACTTGGAGAACTACCGCAACCATCATCAAAACTATGCAAATATTTCTACCGAAGTTACTCAATGTCTATTGGTCTGATACCTTCAGCAACAGCCTACTGTGGGAGGGATCAAACCAGCCTTCAACTGGAGAGGAAATTAGGGGAAGATGATGGAAGTGGATAGGAAATATTCAGCCTTTAGTAATAAGGATAAGAGGTCTATCAACCTATATATTGTGGAAATTATTGAACTGAGTCACGAAGCGAGTGCTAACTTGGAATCATGAAGGGAAACAGAAAAGAGAAATGCAGACGAACATACTACGTCGAGAAATGGAGGCAGACACGAAAAGGATGAATAGTAACGGGAAACAACTGGAAAGAATCGCCCAAGACAGAGTCGGATATAGAATGGTGTTGGGCGTCCTATGCTTCTCTACGAGTAGTAACAGGCGTAAGTGAGTATTAAGGCTGCCAAGTTTTCGATGACAGTCTAGCTTATATAGACTTGATATTTCAACTGTGAAAATATCATTTTATAATCATTTTGATTCCATGTTATTATTACGTAATCTTTCGACTCTATTTGTCTTTTTAATCAAGTTCAGTCCGTGATGTAAACTATACAAAACAACAATTTCCATAACCCAACTTTGATAAGAATAGTTCTCCTTAACCATACTCATATGGATCCTATTAATTAGTGATATACAGTATATATATATAGTATGAAATTGGATGGGTGGGTCGTATGATAGTTTAAATAGCCATTTAATGTATTAACTGACTGAAATTGGAAATATAGGCCAGTGAAATCTGTATCACCGTCCACATTCGGTGTTTAACTGTTGAGAAAGTGATTCTTTTCATAATAAAAGATTCATAACATGTACTTTCATTAAAATAACTGCATATCGATAGAAATAAATATAAGTTTACCTTCTCATTACAATTAATTGTATTGTCATCATTCGTATTAGAAATTGATGATTTTTTATTGGTGACCATGTTAACACTTGGCTTGACTGTATAAATGGATCTACGTCTTGTTCCCAATTCACTTGAAAAACTACCCTTCAGTCGTCTAGCTATCATTTTATCTGGATAAGTAGATTCTATAACCTAAAAATATAAACATAAAAACGTTACTGTAGCATGTATGTATATATTGATTATTTGAACACAATACAAAATTCAGTAAATTCCAGTAAATTATGAACAAATAAAAGAAAATGGTAGGAGTATTTACAGCACAACATCTAACAACCTTGACAACCGTAAAAAACATTCCCAGAGCTAACAAATATTTATCAAAAACGACTATCAATCAAGGTCCGTTCAGAGAAAAATGAAGCTGAAACTGTAGTCTGTGAAACTTACTACAGTTCCTAAAAAAACTCCCTTCATGAACATTGCATTTAAGGGAAATATGGCTGCAAGACTTTTGTGAAATAGTCCAACGAAATCTTTGAGGAAGACTTTTTAGGCAATTTGGATCGGCATTTTTTTTTAGCCGCCCTATCATTTGTGAGTGTATCAACGATAAAATTCCACATTGAGCCACAATAATGTGTATTTACAAGTTGCTCTTGTAGAGCAGGTTACATTGGATGTATAAAGCAAACGCTTTTTAAACGCGATTTCTAATGTTATCCTGTGTGATTTTTGGAAGGTGTATGTAAAACAATCAATAGTTCAATATTGGAATATCTTGGTAATTTTTGTCACACTGCTCCACCAGCCATATTCCAATAGAATTATTTATACAGTTGAACGATTTGATGAAAAAGGAAGAAACTATGAGTTTAATCAGAGTCCCAATTTACCTTTACGACTGTTTCAATTAGCTTTGGTGTGGCAGGTCTTTCAGGAATAACTTCTATAACTGCGTCATCCCCGTAATTTAATTCACAACTCTTTTCCTTCTGAAGTATCTTCTTTTCTTTAACTGCCTCATCAGTTGCTTTTTTCTTGTCTCGACTAAGCATTCGTCTATGTACAAAATAGAAATATTAATCAATAATTATAAAACCAAATAACACCTGGTAATTCAGTAAATTTTGAACAAAGATCATTTCATCAAAACGTACTAGCCGTTTGAAGTCATTTATAGAATAAATAGAAATCTATCTAAGACAGTGAGTTACCACCCCTTTAAAATCGCAAAATCGTTCAACATACATTTACAGAAGCCAGAACTATCCGTACAAAAACATGCAGAGACATCTTCACCTGATTCTCTTTTCATGTTCGTTACTTCTAGTTTCCTCATTCCATTCCCTCTACCTCCGCTTCTTTACTGACTTGTTTATGTTTCCATGTCCTATCTGATTACAATTACTTTCACTATCTTACATTACACAACTGTTTTTCAAAATTATATATCTTTATCTGACCCATGTGACTTTCTCGATAAATATTCCTAGTCTTAAGAATTATATTATCAGTTTCTCAGGAAAAATAACATTCTTTATTATTTTATTTATTACCATCCTCTGTTGCTATGTTTAATAGATTTTTCTCCGGACGAAGAATAAGTGGATGGCAACTGCTAGGATCTATTTATGAACTGTTATTATATGTATCTTTATTGTGTATCTGTTAGGTAACTATATTATATATACAAATGGACAGTGATTAGCGGTGGAATATAGGACGCACGTTTCGTCCTATTTGGGACGTGTCAGCCGGATGTACCTGCATCTCAGAGTTGATGTTCACTCTGAGACTCAAACCCAGTGCCGTTCACTTCAAACACTATTGCGTTAGTCACTGAGCTACTGAGTCCTGTATTGGGCTCAAGCCCAGAGTGAACATCAACTCTGAAATGCAGGTAAATCCAGCTAACGAGTTCCAAATAGGACGAAACGTGCGTCCTAGATCCCACTACTAGCCACTATCCATCTTTGCTTATAAAGCTTGTGACTTAAGGCTATATCGAGGCAATTCACACAGGATGCACATCTGCCAACAAGAGACTGATCAATTGCAGTCTTAAACAACAATGGGAGGATTCAGTTAAAACGATACCAAGTGAATTTCTATTATATGTATATTCATATTCCTTTTATTATACGCTTTCATTTGATCTATTGACTAGTGTTATTATTCCCAATTTATTTGTTACAGTAACTCACACTTACGTCCACTTTCAGCCTGATCTTGTATAATTGTTATTTTCTATTTTATGGTGTGATGCGGTCTAATTTGCTTCTATATAAACTGCGTATTTTTGATATACATGATTCATATCAAAGAGGCTGATATTGGCGTGCTGAAGTTAAACAGGAAGGGCCAGGAGAGAAAAATCATTAAGAACTCAGAGTTGAATCTAGGCTACTCATACTAGTTAATGCGTCATTGATTTTGGTCATATAAGTCAGTGTTTCTAATGACGATTTAGTCATGATATAAGGAAATAACATCTTATTAATAAACTGATTACTGATTATCATTGTGAAAGAAATACATATTTGTCAAAATGGTATCTCTCTCTCCAATAAATACAAGCTTACTGTGATCGTTTCTTCAATAATTCATGTGCTTGTGGATAATTTTTCATTATTTCTTCAAAATCTTGTTTTGATAAACTAAACAACGTTGAAAAACCTTTTGATCTTACATCAGCTGTTCTTCTATTCTTACCGGATAAAGCTAATAAACTAAAGAAAGGAAAAAGAAAGAATAAAAACGATACATAGAAAAGTCAGTAATATAAATTGCTTTTTTTGGTGTTGAGAAAAAGCAAATCAACATTAAAGTAAGTTAATAATATATGTTCTTCTGATCGACTAGTTAGATCATATTTGTTATTTAGAGAATAGGGCATTGTTTATATTAGCCAGCATTGATTAATGGTAATAGTTCGTAATAATTGATGCAAAAGAATATTTTTAACTATAGAATGTTTATATTATTTATCAGGTAATAAGTGAATGTAAAATTGTTTTTTTTTTCAATTTTTAGTTTCATTGTATTCTCTGAACTGGATGGTTTAACTGTAAAGCATCTATTGTCTTTCTGTATAAAATCATCGGTAACTCTTTCATGTAGAAGTGAGTTTTCTGATTATTCCATAAAGATTAAGTATTTTGAGGTTTGTGTGTGTGTAGGTGTTTCATAGTGATATATATATACCGATATGTGATTCTAGGCTGACTTAAACACCATAATTCTAGAAACCCTCGGCATTCTTGAATACTTCTCGATTTAGCATTTTAACATTTTCTCAGTCGATTTTCTGTTCATAGTTGTCTGTATAAATTGATATATGAAATATAATATTGCCTTCTTACTGATAGCCTGTGTTCGTGTGTGCACAAGTCAAAATGATGTCCACTATACAACGCATTTTTACATTAAAGATGAGCTAAGTGCCAATTTTTTTTAACCAACTTTAATGATTATTCTGATATAATATTACTGATTGGCTAAGAATGAAATAACCTAGATTTTTATTGATTAAACAATCGGCTACTTTAGTTAGTTTCGATAATGTAATGAGAAGATGAAGTTTATCAGAATTATGTGATATATATGTGCAATAGATTTCGATCAATCTGATCGCACATAATATACTTGTTAAGACATTTTTATATGAAAAATAAAGGTCAACTAGACAGGTTAAAGGTAAGCCGTTAGATTTGAAGTAGATCTAATAAACATCTAGCTGTATTATTTGATTATTTTCCGATTAATCTTCATTAACAATAACATATGACATAATACTTACTAATATTAAAACTGATAAACTTAACATCAGATTAGTGATGGCGTTGTTTATTTTAAGTAGCAAGGTTTCTTTGGAAAGTTATAATCGGCTATGAGAAAATAAAGGGCATCTTATATTTGAATATCTCAGCAACTTTATCAAAATGTGTTATAGAAGTAGACTGACCATATTAAAATCATTCTCAAAAATCCGATAACAGATCCCCATATCATATATGAAAAACGCTTCGAAAATCGTAACGAAAATAGTGAAATGTTTTGGAATTATTGTTGCTCATAAGGCAACACAGTCATTTATTCCCTTTTAGGCTGATCAAATAACTTAACAGTCAAGGGAGATAGATCTAATACCACTTACAAAATAAATTAAACCAACTCTAAGAGGTGTCGTAGTAGATAAAATAGAAGTTTTTTACATCTTGATATTCAGGAATGTAGATTAGTAGCTAAAAGAGACGATATATCATCACTTACATCAATGTACAGAAATAATTAGAAACAGAAATTTGACTGACAAAATTTCAGAATGCTATATAGTTTTCAGATTCTTCTATTTAGATCTATCTGTATTCATTATTTACATTAACATAGATCTGTTTTATTAACCTTCTGGAAGTAAAACAATTACATGGTAAAAATATACTAGAGTATAAAAGTATACGGACATAACAAAACCTTCAAAAGCACCTAATCACAGAAAAGTTCTTTAGAATGAAATATTTTGATACCAGCTCATCTTTATCTAAAGTTTCCATCGACGATGTTATCCAGAAAGACAATAAAATCTGTGTAACTAAACGTGTATGGGTAACTGGTTGGTGAATAAAGACTAATACTGGTCTATTTTAATGAATGAGTACCGAGCGATATCCCAATTTCATAAAAGGATCTAATAGTATGTAGTGCTGAATTAAAACTCATTAATAATCCTAACCAGGAAATCTGAAAATCTTCGATTTCATCTATTTTGTGTGTCAAGTTGTTTAATGGTAAAATATGGAAATCATACATTTAATACATCCTTTGCAAATCTTTGTATTGTCCTTCACATACTTTATTATTCCTCTAATTCTATTGATAATTCGAATTCTCACCGATTTCCTTCCTGTCCTCTTTCTTTTAATTTTCTGCTATCAGGCATTCCTCTTCCGATTGGTGCTACATATTACTTATATCTGTCATCATACGTAGCATACACCACATTACTATTGTATTAACATATTATCGCAATATACTTGAGAGTGTGGAAAATATTATAAACATCTATTATATCAGTATTAGTGTTAAAGAGGGATAATACAAATACAGTTAAACTGACAGGTTATTAATTTTCATGAAGAGGAATGGATTTTAAGGTTTACGGAAAAGAATAATCGTAGATTACTTGCGTTGTTAACATACTCATTAACTGTACTTTCAAAGAATGAAAATATCAATATGCTCAGTAAATGACATACCTTATTTCACCGAATACACTGCCTTCTTTAAGTGTAACAAATACAATGGAATTATTAGGGCCGCCAACAACTTCAACTGCACCACTTTTTACAATATACATTTCTTTACCGACTTCACCCTAAAGTAGGTAGATGTTTAACAAATAGCTTCATTCACAGAATAAAAATAGTTTGGTCAGTAATCTCTATATATTCATACTATTTCCAGCAGATAAAAATGATTTATTAGAATTAAAATGTCAGAGAATAGAGCCATATTTTAACAGTTATATTCATGAGTCAATCTAAGCTAGACCATCATGGAAAAACTGGAAGCACTGGACAGCTGTTTCGTCCTATTGTGAGACTTCTCGGCAATGCGTATCCACGGTCCCGACTCGCGACATTCGAACCCAGAACCTATCAGTCTATCGCATGAGAGCTCAAACTCTACACCACTGAGCCGGTCGGCATCCAACGGTGTTAATGTCTAACTTCAACTAATCCAAGAAATCGAGCGACACATCCATCATTGTCATCACTGAGTTACTATCTCACAACCGACCCGGTTATTAATAAATGTATACATAGATGTACTTATAATTCAGTTTACCAAGTGCTTTATATTCACTTAGTGTTGTTTGCTTGTATCTTCTGATTGTTGTTTAGGGCTGAAATTGATCAGTCTCTTGTTAGCATATGTGCATCTTTTGTGGATTGACTCGATATTGCCCTAATTCACAAGCTTTATCAGCAAAAATGGATAGTGGTTTGCAGTGGATTCCAGAACGCGCATTTCGTTCTATCTGGGACTCGTTAGCTGGATATACCTGTTTTTATATCTGATATTGGGTCCAAAAACAAAGCCGAATATATATCAAATTTTCATTTCGAAGTGATATTGTAAAAGTTACACGTTCAATTTTAAAACAAATATTATGAATACGTTTATTTGTTGATAATATATCACTGATATTTAGACGAAGAACAAATATCTATACAATGCTTTACAGCTATAAGTAGTATTTTGGTCAATGTGGTATAGGTTTGTGAAGAGTTATTTACCAGATGTATGTGTATTCGGTATTTCATCTGTTACAAACAGCTTCACATGATTTTAGGAATAGTGAATACATCTTTGTTCGGACTATTGGAATGACTGAATAGAAAGCTTATCGACAATTAATATGATACAGTAAAGCCGATTGATAAGTGCTCAAGAGACTGAATTATTGACATAAATTCACAAATGAATAGAAACTTGAAGATAATACAGCTCAATAGATTATGTTTTTTAACTTTGAAAAAGTAAGGTGGTCTATATACACAACATTAGTACAAAACTAAATATGATCAGATGACATATGAGTCTAAGAGACATAGATTTTATGGTTGATTTACTTGTTAATGAATTAAGACGTGAATATCAATCTTGACTCATGTATGTCGCATCGTGTCTGAATACTTCTAACTGATATTTATACTTGTAATTTGTTTCATGGACGAAATTGTAAACAGGTAGACTTTATTGAATCTTTTTTCAAGATTATCTTTAAAGGTAGTCATTTTTACCGACCGAAAAGTGCATTCGGTTCCTCTTGTTTGACATTCAAGACATGCTTAGAACACAAATATCCTCAATTAGTCTTCTCCTATGCTAAAACGAAATGGCCATCCAGTGCTTCCAGGTTTTCAATAGTGGTCCAGCTTCAATCGACTCATGAATTCAACTACAGACTTTATTTGTTGTATTAAAAAATTATTATTTGTAGTATGTATATTGTTAGTCAGAACAGAAATTTTAGCGAAAGCATAGTTTAGGGAAGCACTTAAAATAAGCGCGACAAATTTCCAGGTAGTTTCTAGCCAATCAGAAAGCTGCGTTCGTAGGCAGACAATTTATGGAAAAGAAAACATTATTTCAAAGTCCAAACAGATTTTTCTTAAATAGTAGTCTTTTACAAGTTACTTTACCTGTAAACCCTAAAAATGACATTAAAACTCTTCCTAATAGATATAGTTTGTCCGTATTCTCGGATCCTTAAATGGACCTAAACAGATTTTGAAGAGTTACCCCATTGTTCCTAGTTGAAGTTAGGATTATGAGTTTTGAGTTTTCATCACAAACTGACGTAAGCTATGGACAAATGAATTGCACTTACAAATACAAAAGACGGTATCCGATTAGTTCATCAATGAAATGCAACACCACTAAGTTTGGGCTAATTTCAGAATTAAAGGTTATGAATTTGTGACAGTGTAGATTTACCTGTTATTTACAATCATAATAAACATAATTAAGAATTTGGTAAGTTTAACACTATATTTTTCACTCTGTGGCTACAAAAAATCAACTATCATTATCATTTTACACATTTTGAATAAAGGGTCTTAGTACTGATCGGTACACATGATATCTGAATTTCTCGCAAAAACCTGAAATTCGTGCTTTCGATTCTGATCGGCTCATTAATAAAGTTTACTTTTATCTACATTTCATAATGAATTTAAATTCAACTTTGAAGATTGTCGTCATTGTTAACTTGTGTTATCTTTCAAAGTTCATGATATTGTTAGGTAAACACGTATCTTATTGATATTAGCTGGTTGTTTCTGATAAAACTCTTATTAAAAAAATTAATTAGATTTTCGAAATAAATATTCTATTTCTTAGTTACAATACAAAACCAGAAGGTTTATACGATACAAAGAAACTACAGATTAACGTTCAATTAAGGGGGGTTTTGTGAAGAATGGTTTAATTCATAGGTTGTAATTGTAACACGATAGTTCTAAAAGTGAAGTTTTTGCCATGAAACCTAAAGGTCTTGGTTTTGATCCGTAGTGGAGTCATGGGTGTGCACTGGTGGCGAGTCTCGTAATAAGACCAAATAGTTGTCCAGCATTCTATAGTTTTCAACGCAACCTTGACTCAGCTAAATCTTTGACAAATACAACCTACAAATTTTACTAATAACTTCTCGAAGTTCTTACTCTGTTTGTATCTCGATTGTGTAAACCATCGAGGATATTAAGTTATACTCTAGTGATTTGAGAAATATGAAGATATAGTTTTAGGAATTTTTGAAAAATTTGTACAACACGAAACTGCTTGTTCTTTGTTGTGGCAGTAGTGACATGATTTTGTTGAAAGTATTTTTCAGATAGAATAAGAATCATGATGATTTTTTCCGACTATATTGCTTTCGTCATGTCATTTTCAATATATGATGAAACGTATAATAGCCTTGCCCACAAAGAGCTTTGTATATGTTCACATTAGATAAGCCTTTGATTTAGTCAATTTGTCAGATAGTGCTGTTTTGATCCATAATAATTCACCTACATATCTTTTATATATCTTTACGCTAGCGTAGATGAGTATGTATGGTTAAACTTATGTGATAATTTACGCATTTATTTATCTAAACGGTTTAAATGTTGATTATTTGAAGGCTTGACGTCAAATTTGTATGTACATACATGGTTGTCCATTAAGATACAATCACTGATTTATCTTGCGCTATGGCACTGCTGAATGTTTGGTTAGAGCTGTTCATTCAAATAAGCTCTTCTGTCTACTTTGTTTCAACTTCAGAAAGGGGAATTATACCAATAACGGTTGCTTCTGCCAATAATATATAAATTACAGAAATAATCGTCAACATAAACGCAACAAACCATAAAATATTCACCATTCATAAGCAATTTACTCATTGAATCCAGATGTTCTCTACAAACCCTTTCATCAAAGATAATGTTCACAAGTCATAAATTTGGGATTCCACGAAAAATACTAAATGTTCATAACTTGATCCTCATTGTCTTTGCAGTATTATAGAATCACATTTTAAAAAATTAGTCAGTTTAAATCGGCAGAAGAAACCGACCAGTGTTCAAACTGTTAATATATCCATTTAAAAAAAGATGAAATACTATCTTTTGATGAGTAGAGTTAACAATATTTATTCATATTACATATATAGGGAGGTCCCTTTTCTAAATGGAATATATATATATATTCTTTACCATACCTTTCGACAAATATAATCTTTGGGCAGAAACACGACAGGTTTCAATCTCAATATCATGTCGTAGATGAGAGCTTTTTCACAATTCTGTAAATTAATTATGATTGGTTAAATGAGGTGGGTAAAATAAAAAAAGATTTTGGTAAAGGAAATCCTCAACATATAAGTAAATGAACTAATGAGCACTGATTATTATTTCTAATTACCAAGTGAAAGAAACTATTTTTCATAAAAAATAAATTATAATAGTGGTGTAATATACAAATTATATGATTACTATTTCAGTTAAATATTTGTAATTTAAGATGTGGGATAAAATAACATAAAAATTGAAATAGTGGAGATTTATAGCTCAGATGAATGATTTTGATGGAGTTTTGTTCTCTGATCTGTATGGTTTGGTCGTGGGGCTTTCATCGTTCTATTGAACGACATCTTCAGTACAAACTTCAAGTAGAATTGAAGTGTTCCAATTTCTCCATATATGGTTCACAACTTGTCATGTAGACCTCGATCTTGACTGGTTCTTGTTGACCATAAACCTATCATTATTTACTACTTTGTTTTGTTTGTATCTTCCATCGGTTTGATTTTTGTTCCTATGTTTGTCCATGATTTTCCCGATTGGTTGATAAACCGGATCGATTTCAATGTGATTGTTGATTGGCCTGAGTGCCAAGCTCCTAAAATTTTTTTGGTGTTTTTGGAATTTCCTCGATCCAAGATTTGTACATTTTTCTAGTCAAATATGTGTCCGCAGTTGTCCACCTGCATTGATATAAGTTAGGACATGTCATGGCGTTTGACCGACAACTGATGTTCACGCAGGCAAAGATGAAGAGGGCCACCGCTTTGTCCGATATAGTGGCCTATAGGACAAGCTGTGAACCATATGTGGAGAAATTCAAACATTTCAATTCTACCTAATGTTTGTACTGATTATGTCGTTCAGAAGAACGATGAAAGCCCCACGACCAAACCATCCAGATCAGAGAACAAAACTCCATCAACAACATAAAAATTACAGCTTTGTATCCAAACAAAGTGAATACAGTACCTACTCATGAATTATCCGGTTTCAGGTAGAATCAATCATTAATCATGTTAGTTTTATGGTGAATTGAAAGATGCGTGATATATGAATCCAAATCGGTTTACACACTTCAATTTATATGATATAAATGACTTTGTTTCGATATGTGAACAATTTATTCAGTATATATCTTATTTCACTATATTTTACTGAATCTATATTACTATTATTATTAGCTTTATTCAATATTATATTTTTGGTACAATATAGAATTCTCAGCACAAAGTATTTCAACAAGTTCCCGTTTCTTATTTCTTGATTGATCCTTGCGATAAATATTGAGTGGTCGCCAGTTAGATGTTAGCAGTTCAGGAATAGACATCTGATTAATGTATATTTTTTTCGATGCATATTGCCAGCAACCACGATGTCTCTGATTGGGCTCTTGTGTAAGTTGTACAGCGAAATTTTCAGAAACGCACTTGAATAGGTTATGCGATCAATAGACGTAAGTATGTATTAAAACAATCAAGAAAACAGATAACTTATTGAAATATCGAGATGGCAGGAACGGGTAGCCCAGATATTCAAGCACGCCGCTTTGGGGTTTTTACATACTAAGTATTGTCTAGTCGAATATTTAGTATAACTGTTACTTAATATTCTTAAATTTTTTTCACTCCACAATGAAAGATTAGTCACCGTTTGGATAACCCAGTGATAACATCTCTGATTATGATAATTTCTAGTGAAAGTTCAAATCTAACAAGCCACATAAAGTCCTCCAAGATTGCAAACAAAACTTGCTAGCGACTACCAACTACAACAGACAACCTTCCAGCCATTTGACATACATGAAAAACATTAAATTTCACTGTAAAACAATCGGCTTCACATTTAGTAAGTTTAATTTAGTATAACTGTGTATGATAGTAGATTTATTGATGAATAATCTGTGTGGTCAAGGTCATGATTCGCTTGTTCAATTTTTAGTAGTTCATAATTGCAATCAACTGAAGTAATACTTTTTAAACTAAAACTACACTTTAATATGTAGCACTTATACACTAAGTCAATAGAAAAATCTGAAATGTGTTACGTACAAGGTTTTCTTCTTCATAGCCGGAGTAAAACAGCAGCTCACCTGAAGCTAGTCTTCATTGTCCAACCTGCATTCAATGTGTTTCATTGTTTCCATAGACTTTCAGGTTGTATCTTTTTCATTTCTGAAGCAATCTGGATGACTTTCCCGGTCTCCGACATTGTACGAGCATTCCATGTACCTAAATTAATGGTTGCTCAGTTTGTCACAAAGGAACATCAGCCTCGTGACTTCCGAAGGAACTCAGCTTTCACTGTGAAGCGTCATAACTCTTCCAAATGAAGACCTCCTAATTCCCAGGGATACGTACATCATACTCAGGAAACATGGAAAATGTTACGGATAACCTAAAGCTGTATACTTAAACCATATAATTTCATATCTATGATATTCATCAATAATATTATCATTACATATTACATTATAAATAATATATACAAAAAGGAAATCTCAATAGTTGAGATCATGAGTCAATTGAAGTTAGACCACCATGGAAAACCTGGAAGCATCGAACGACCGTTTTGTCTTATTGTGAGACTCCTCAGAAATGTGCAAACACGATCACGCTGGCGAGATTCGAACACAGGGCCTATCAGTCTCGCGTGCGAACGCTTAACCATTAGACCACTGAGCCGACCGGCATTTAATTGTATTAACGGCTAACTTCAACTAATCCATGAAACTGAGCGACATATCCACCATTCAGGTTTTCCATAGTGGTCTAGCTTCAATTGACTCATAGTGTTAACTATTGAAATTCCTACAATTTTCAACAAAATCCCTTCTGATAAAAAGAAAATCTGTTTACTTAGATTATTTTAACTCACCTGAAATAAAGTCACCTTACTTAAAGTATGAAAATGTACACTAATGGCTAAATCACTTTTCAATTTTATTGGTAAACATTCAAATAATGAATTTTCATCTAATAATAAAATAAATAAACATAAAGTGAATTAATTTTATTAAATTAAGTAAAATGCATTAATCACTAGTTAATGTATATTATAGTTGAAAGATGATAAAATAATTATGAACTGAATCAGAGATATCAGAAGAGGTTTTGTGGAGATTGTAGTAATTTCAACAGGCGAAATCACGAGTCATTTGAAGCTAGACCACCATGGAAAACCTGAAAACATTGGATGGCCGTTTCGTCCTATTGTGTGACTCATCATCAATGAGCATCCACGACCCCGATGCCAGCTCATTGGTCTAGTTGCTTTAGCACCTGGTGCGGGACTGATAGGTCCTGGGTTCGAATCTCGCGGAGTGTGGGATTGTGTATGCACACTGCTGAGGAGTCCCATAATAGGACAAAACGGCCGTTTAGTGTTTCCAGGTTCTCCATGGTGGTCTAGCTTCAAATGACTCATGATCTCAACTGTTGAATCAGAGATAATTTGAATGAATTTAGTTATAATGAATTGGATTATTGATTAATAATATAGATAGGTGAAAATTATTCATTATCACTAACTAATTTTACCTGAGTTTGATTAATCTGTATCTTCCTTCCTTACTTACTTACTCCTGTTATCCCTCGTGCAGGAGCATAAGACGCCCACCAGCATTCTCCATCCAACCCTGTCCTGGGCAATCCTTTCCAGTTGCTATTCAGCCTTTCCATGTCTGCTCCCAATTCTCGACGTAGTGCTATTTGGTCTTCCTCTTTTCCATTTCCCTTCAAGATTCCAAGTTAGGGCTTGCCTCGTGATGCAGTTTGGCGATTTGCGCAATATATGTCCTATCCACCAACTCCATCGTCTTTTCCTAATTTCTTCTTCAGCTGGAAGCTGGTTTGTTCTCTCCCACAAAAGGCTGTTGCTGATGGTATCCGGCCAACGGATGTTGAGTATGTTGCGTAGACAGCTATTTATAAATACTTGTACCCTCTTGATGGTGGTTGATGTAGTTCTCCAAGTTTAAGCTCCATACAGTATTGAAGATTCTAACTTGGATATTGGTTGAAAGTTGTTTTGAGTTCCATATGTTCTTCGCTTGTAGGGATGCGGCCCTTGCTTTGCCAATCCCTACCTTTACGTCTGCATCAAATCCTTCTTGTTAATCAATGATGAAGATGACCAGATACGTGAAAGATTCCACATCTTCCAGAGTTTCTCAATCAAGTGTGATTGTGTTGTATTTGAGGGTTTGCATTTTCCCTTCTGTATGTTAAGGCCTACTACTGCAGAGGCTTCTGCTACACCATTTTTCTTAACCTACATTTATTTTTGTGCATAGGAAAGAAGACCTAGGTCATCTGTAATGTCCAAATCCTTTATTCTTATCTAAGCTGTCTACTGTATTCTTCCTCCCCGTCAGAAGTCGAGGTCTTCATAATTCAGCCAACTAATAGAAGAAACAGAAAGGGGAAGAGTAAGCAGCATTGTGTGACTCCGGTCTTTACTTAGAATATGTCTGTCAGCTGTCCTCCATGTACCATTTTGCAGTGTGGTCTGTCGTATGAACTCCGTATGATGTTGGCAATTTTCTCAGGTACTCCACAATCCTAATCTAGTGCATGCATATTACATTTGCCCGTATATTTATTCTTATCCTTAAGGTTTTACCATACATTTGACAATAATTTGAATCCTTTTACTGTACATTGCAAAATGTTATAATATTACCATATCTGTAATAATAGTATTGGACAAAGTGAACCATGGAGAATTTATTATCGTGACAAAACTTTTCAATGGATGAATATACTTATTTGAATGAAATGACAGTTCAAATCAATATAAGCTATCTATAAAGAAAGCTAGATATTCAGGAAAAAAAACTCGATCAAAATTAACACTCAATAATAAGTCCTATATTCAAAAACGTACTAAATGTTTTCTGTTGATCCCAATTATACATAAACCAACTGCGTACTTTATCAACAACATGTTGTGGAGCATGTAATTGTTGCATAGATGATAATGTAGCATCCATTACTTTACGATAATTCACTTTATTTGCACTCGCTGAATCCAATATATCAATGACCTTGATAAAAAATGTATAAATATATGAATAATAAAGTGAATAATATTGATCTGATCCATCTGAACCCTAGAGTTTTTATTGATTATATCGATTACGTTAATTAAAATAGTTATCAAAAAATAACCGGTAATTTTGTAATACTATATTTAATATGAATTGTACTTTGAGACTTGTGTACAACTGTCATCCAGGGTTTCAGACTACTAGGTCAAATAGATAATCCTGCTGCACAGAAAGTTGACCACAGTGAATAAATAGCTTCATGAAGAACTTGTAACTGTTAGGGTTAATGTTTGAAAGTTTAGATTTTCGAAATGGTTTTTTTTTCATAATAGGACTGACAAAATTTAACTTTCAGCAAAACTCTAATGATTCAACAATAAATTTCAAGGCTAAGTTATTTAATGATTATTAATAGAAATCTAGCTACTTTCGTAGTGTCCGGTTATTAATATACATGCAGTTGATCTCTCACTACTCAGTAATCAATTTATTGCCAATATCTTAGTCCCATAGTAGGTCAGTTGCAGTTTGAACAGCTCATTTCCAACGTCCATATACTAGAGTTCAGTTTTATCTATGGTTGGAGAATATGTAGATGAATGTGTATTTTTAAATCATTGTATTGTTTTTACAATTTATTTGTGAACTCAATATGTGGTTATTAACGATGGTTATTCACTGAGCTTAAACTGATAAACACGGACTACTGGTTTTTTAATTTTTGAATTCTTTTTTATTACTGATTTCTATTCTAGACTCACTGAATGTAGATCGCTTGTAGTTGTGTTGAAAAAGTATTATCTAGCGTGTACACTGGTTCAATAAATTCTAATAAGGTCCCAATTAGGGTTGAAAAGGAATAGTTAAGTTCAAGAAAACTATCCTAATTACAATTTGAAATTACGAGTAGAGTTGGGTGGTGGCTAGCTATGGAATCCATAACATGCAGTTCGTCCAGCTTACAACTCATCAGCTTTGAAGTTGAAGGTACCGGGTTCGAGTCTCGGAGTAAACATAAACTCTAGGACTCAGGTACTTCCAGCTGACGAGTCCCAAATGGAGTGAAACATGTAACCTGGATTTCTGTGCTGGCTACCATCTAACTCTGTCTATAATGCTTGTGACTTGATGACAATATCGAGGCAATTCGCACAGGATATACATATACTAAGAGGAACTGATAAAATCAAGTCTTAAACATCAGTGGCAAAGTTCAAACAATCAATAAAAACGAAATATCAGTAGTTGAGATCATGAGTCAACTGAGCCTAGACCACCATGGAAAACCTGAAAGTACTGGACGGCCGTTCCGTTCTATTGTGGGACTCCTCAGCAGTGCGCATACACGATCCCGCCCCCCGCGAGATTCGAACCCAGGACCTATCAGTCTCGCGCGCAAGCGCCTAACCACTAGACCACTGAGCCGACCAGTATTCAACGGTGTTACTGTCTAACTTCAACTAATCGACGAAATTGAGCAACACAACGAAATAATCTAAATTTACGATTTTTATTAAAATTGCTAAGGTTCAATATTAAAATGAATATCTATATGCCATTACTATATGTACTACTTATTTCAACTAATAGTTGTATATTTACTTGTTATAATTGTAAACGATCATATTCACTATGAACTTGTCTATTGATTCGTTACATGAATTTGTATTTTAGAATTAAGGAACTTGATCGGAATTTATTTATTTATTTATTAAGAAGTATTGAAGATATTGAAATAAATAAAATTTATTGTACCTAGAAGAAACATAAATATTGAAATTTAACCCCTAGATTAGTAGTAGTTTCAGTTACAATGTAAATGTTAAGCTAATTTGCAAAAAATGAAACGATGTTCGTTATGTAGTTTCTATGGTAGAAAAAAAATTTATAAAGTAAATTGATTAATCGACCTTTATTTTTATTTCCAGATGTAGTCATAGTAATAAAAGTGGAAGGATTCTATGGTATGTTAAGTAGACAACTAGACCATTGACTTAGTACAAGTTGATTAACTGGAAATTTAGTCATTTCAAGTTTAATGGATAGACATTATATGGATGATATTCTATCCTATTCGATTAAATAACATATTCATGAGTGATAATAGAATAAAAGATATTAGGTGGTTGGAGGTAGGTAGCAGGAAACCATGAACTTAAGTTTCTTGTCAGTAGTTACTTTTCAGTAAGACATACCTGTGATCAAGAGGGATTTGGTAATATCTGTGGGATTTTAAATCTCATCACCTGAATTTACAGTTTGAGATATTGCCACAACTATAGCTTCCATAAACTTATGAATATAATCCCAATGGTGAACAGGATGTTTTAAGAATGATCCTTTGATCATTTTCAACTGCTTTTCCGATTATTATTTAAAATGGTTATTTACTTCTATTGGAATTTTTGATTTTGACTCAATATAAAGTCATTTTGTGGTGTGTGCTACTTATATCTACATAAGTAGTATACAATGTTAGTCGTGAACAGAATGTCTGGCAGCAGTGAGACAAGAGGATCGAACAGTAAAGAATGGGAACAGAATGCACTTTGTATGAAAATGCAAGAACAGTGAAGTCTGAGTCATTTTGAGACAATTGATGAACATTTTGCAAATTAAGCATTTACTTTATGATTGTTAGATTTTATTAACAAGTCCTGTAATTTTGCGTCAAATACTTTCGATTGTCCACACCCGTGTCCTGTTCACTACAATTTTACTATCCTGTGCTGTATTACTTAAGTTTTCCTACTTCAGTAGTTGTGCTCAGGTTTAGTCAACGACTCTTTCAGCTTAATGAAAATAATTTAAATTAATCTACAGAGTCTTTTTTATGATTGCAGATTGTTGAAGTGATGTCTGATTTTATTATCCAAAAAAAGAAGTAGTATAAGTGCCAACCTTCTAAACACTGTACCCAACCAATAACTACGGAGTGTCACTGATATCTGCTCGAAATATTTTTAATTTTGAATGGTCTTGTTATCTAATTAATCTTATGTTTTACAAAATCTTGTGAAACTACAAAACTGATTGAATATGTTATTTGTCTAAACCTTATTCACTTTACCTGACCAATCAGAATAGCCGATACAAGTATCCCACTTAACCAATAGCAAGTCATGAATAAAAATTCTGAACTATTCGTCGCTGCAGGTAATGAACCAATTGAAGTTGCAGTTTTCATACAAACATAGAAAGAATAGACGTATCTGAAATTGAGAAAAAGTTTACAAAATGAGTAGTTACAAAATATTCTAAATATGCATATGTATGTAATAGTTACAGTGAAAACTATTAACCATAAAAACATATGTTAAATACCTTGTTAAACTATTGCCTAAATACCAAAAATAACATAGTACTTATGTACGTAGTAGTCCCTCATGGTACACCTGTATAGAAATCTGTTTTGTTCTAACAAGTAAAATGCCTGGCAAAAATAACTTTTCATATATAAATGTTCTTAACAAGTATATGTGTGATCAGATTGTTCGAAATGTGTTGCGCAAATTTATCACATAATTCTGATAAACTACGTCTTCTCATTGTATTATCGAAATTTATCAAAGGGACTAATTGTTTTAAATTTCTGAAAAGAAGATTCCCTACGCAAATTATTAAAAGGTTAAATGAACTTGTTAACCTCAAGTGCAAAATTATATCAGAACGAGTGAAACTGGATTTTTATAAATCTTGCTTATCTAATCACATTTTCCCGATTCAGTTATATAAGAATCTTCGTTCAAGTAAATTACAACCAAATATTCCAAATCTTATTAGACTAACGAAATCGTATATAGACAAATGCCATGATAAGTTGATCAATTTAATTGAACTTCATACTCAAGCATTACCTGTATTAACAGAATTGTCTATAGTTTGCCATATCAAATTCATCAATTTTTGTAGTACTGTCATTTTGAAAACAAAAGAAGGGATAAGAAAAAAGCTAGAAAAATCTTGCTGCAATAATAATAATCTCACTTCCTTCCCAATCAATCCTGATAAATATGTCACTAATTTGTCCTCCATTGTATTGTCTGTTCATGAAAAGGAGGCATTGTCCTTGGGTTTAAAATTTTCTGTTCCTATAACACAAATCTCTGAATTGACAGTCAATGCCCAATTTGAAAACCTCTATGATCAATTGTGTACTTTAACCCCTTCGTCCTTAGAGAATCAAAGTTGGTTTAAAGCCAAACTAGTGGATATAGCGCATCATTTTCATTCTTCTGGACCAAAGCAGAGAAGCATATTAACTTCTCAGCATTTCAAATCATTAAAAGAATTGCGAAATAATGCCGATATTATTATACTTAAACCCGATAAAGGATCTGGTGTTGTTATTATGAATAAGTCAGATTACAAAAATAAAATGGAATCCATTCTCAGTGATAAAAGCAAATTTTTGGCTGATGTTGACTTTGATGGATTACGTAAATTAGAAAAGAAAGTGAACTCGAATCTTGTGAAATTGTTAAACATGGATGCTATTAACAAAGATGAGTTTAATTTATTAAAACCTATGGGTTCGACATATCCTAATTTATATGGATTACCGAAAATTCATAAGCCTAATACCCCCCTACGTCCAATTCTATCTATGTGTCGGTCACCTACACACAACCTGGCAAAATGGCTTACAAAATTATTAAACCCTATCAGAAATCAATATTGTAAGTATTCTTTGACTGACTCATTCGAATTAATTAATTACTTAAAGGATATAAATATAAAGACAAAGACAATGTGCTCCTTTGATGTAAACACTTTATTTACAAATGTACCTCTTAGGAAAACCATTGATATTTTGTGACTTTATTTCTTCGGAAAACCTTCCACTACCTTTTCCTGTTAAAACTCTTAAAGATTTATTATTATTATGTACAGATAATGTAAAATTCACATTTGAAGGTGAACACTTCAGACAAATAGATGGTGTAGCTATGGGTAGCCCTCTAGGACCATTGCTGGCTGATGTGTTCATGGGATATGTGGAAAATTTAGTTGGAGACTCAATTCGAAAGATGAGTCTGTATAAACGATATGTAGACGACATAATAATCATAGGTGATAAAATTGAAGACATAAGCCACTTGTTAGAAGAATTCAATAGCAGTCAAAACCACATTTCTCTTACATGTGAAGAAGAGAAGAACAACCAACTTCCTTTTCTTGACATCCTGATTACTAGGAGAGATGATGGTTCCATCAAACGTGCTACATATAGAAAACCAACATGGACAGGACAATATCTTAATTTTCATAGTCACTGCCCTATTCATTATAAACGTGGTTTAATAAAGAGCTTATTCAATAGAATCAATCGTATTTGTACTAGTGATACTATTGAAGTAGAGATGAAGCTCTTGACTGATACGTTATTCAATAATGGTTACCCTTTGAAGTTCATAAACCGCTGGAAGGGTTGCAATATGACTAGACCTATGACGCTTCTGGCACCCAAAAAGTGAGTTTATATTACGCTACCATTCAGAGGTGACACAAATAGTCTCATGTTGAAACAGAGACTTAAATTAGCTATCAACCGGACATTTTATGCAGCCCAACTTGTCATTATCGAAAAGACAAGGTCTATGTTTTACCAAAAGCCCAAACAGCATGAAAACGATTGTCACATCCCATTGTGTCTATAAATTTACATGTATGTGTGGAAACACGTACGTAGGGAGGAGCAATCGTGATTTGCAATTAAGGGTTGGTGAACATATACCAAAATGGTTGCAAAATCAGATGAATTTCAATGGTGAAATAAGACCACAGGATAGACAGACATCATCATCCATTGCGAAACATTTGATTGAGACGGGTCATAAGGTTGATATCAAATCAGCATTTGTTGTGTTGTACAAAAGCCTTCAAGGACGTATACTAAGGTTTATTGAAGCCTTGGCTATACGAAAATTGAAACCCCCTGGTAGTACTGATTTACTGTCCAGAGTGGTAATCACATTTGTTTTTGTGTACTTTAATATTTTTTTCCTTTGTTATGACTTACCCTTAACCTGTCTAGTTGACCTTTTAATTTTTCATATATAAATGTTCTTAACAAGTATATGTGTGATCAGATTGTTCGAAATGTATTGCGCAAATATATCACATAATTCTGATAAACTACGTCTTCTCATTGCATTATCGAAATTTATCAAAGGGACTAATTGTTTTAAATAAATATGTATCAAAAGGAGTTTTGTGGATATTGTAGTAATCTTATTGGTCGAGATCATAAATCAATTGAAGCTAGACAACCATGGAAAATATGGAAGCACTGAACGGTTGTTTCATCCTAGTATGAGACTCCTCAGCAGCGGGCATTCATATGTCCTTTTTTAAACTTATTATCTACTTTAATCTTATTCTCAGATGATTGATTAAAAGCATACATTTTCGAGATATGAGAACGTATATGTAAGTGTTCGCTTATCTTGAACATTATTTATTTGGTTGTGTAATCTGTCATGAATTAATTTTCTGACCAATTTCTTGATTAATTCATTTATCACAAGATACATTCATTTGTCTCTTTCACCGTTCATTTATCTGCTAATTAGTATGCTTGACATAAATCTTTTATCCGACACATTTCGTAATAAATTTTCTCATATCACAAATTGAAAATGAAAATATTTGGTAACAATTTAAGGGATAAGTACAATTTGAATTAGATGCATTTGCAAATGAGCCAATAAAATACATGAGACCACTTCATCTGGCGAGACTCTAATTTATGGACTAGCCAATCAGAAGTGCTTGAAAGGTTCAAAGTCATGGCGCCAAATTCAGTGCTTAATGCTAACGTAGGATCGGTTCACAGGGAATTTTGTACAAAACGTGATAATTGAGCGGCTATAATAAATAAAACGGCGAGACTATAATTTGTGGACGAATCAATCAAGTATAAGATAACAGATCTCGGATTTTGGCGCGAAAGCCTTTCATTCATTTGGCTAAATAGATTTCTGGCATTATAGCTGATGTCAGTTCGTGATTAAACCACTATATATAATTCCTATCTAAGGCAAATTACGACAGTTATTGCGAACTGGATAATAAAAACACCAGTAACACTGGCTGCAGCCAGGTACTACAATATATACGGATGATTGGAGAGCGTACAGACTCCTACATAGGCTTGGTTATGCGCATTGTGTCGTTATCCACAAGTGGCAGTTTGTGTACTCAACAACTGGAGTGCACACAAACAATATTGAAGCTATATGGTAAGGGCTGAAAGTTTTTGAAACTTTATCATGGCTCCAGAAGCCGACTATTCTGTAGCCATATGGATGATTTCCTGTACTATATGTATTACGATTTCAGAACCTCTGGACGTCTTTCTAACTATGACAAGTTTTTGAACCGTATAAAAAAGTGTATTCACGCTAATTCTTCGGTTTCATATAGTTTATTTTTTACCCTGTACTAACCGTTTGCTGACTGGCTAATATTTCCCAAGGTCACTTGAGATTAGTTCAAAGGTCGCCCATGAATTATAGTCTCGCCCTTCATCTTAATTCGTAGTACATTTTAAAATAACGATACATAGTTGGATTTATATTGTTGATATAATTCATACCAGAAGAAATATTATAGGAAGAGTTTAAGTAAAATTGAAATGTAACACACAGAACCAATGGGATGAATATCGTTTTCTGTTCGATTGTAACTATTCAAATGAATAACTATTAATAAAATGGTTACCATATATAGGGTTTCTGTCGATACCTATTCAGATCTAAATTAACATATATATAATCCTATTATTTGATTTAAAATATTCGGATACTATTCTATACGATCTTATCATAACAAGTTTAAAGTATGCAATGGCAATGTAATAGCAATCGTCATATTCCAGGAGTAGTTTCAATTCAATGTTAACATCATGAAAGTAATACTCAAACTGAATAGTTTGAAGAAATTTTTAAAAAAGAAGGAATTAATTAAGGATATGAAAACTTATGCTTAAAACTAGATAAAAGAAGTATTGAAAATATATACACTCATAATATATATATATACATAATAAAACTAAATAAATAATAACCATTTAAGAGTACATTAACTAGTGAAGAAGCGCTGGAAGTGGATAGGACACATATTGAGGAAAGCACCCAACTGCGTCACAAGACAAGCCCTCACATGGAATCCTCAAGGCCAAAGGAAAAGAGAAAGACCAAAGAACACATTACGCCGAGAAATGGAAATAGACATGAGAAAAATGAACAAGAATTGGATGGGACTAGAAAAGAAGGCCCAGGACAGAGTGGATTGGAGAATGCTGGTTAGCGGCCTATGCTCCATTGGGAGTAACAGGCGTAAGTAAGTAAGTAAGTAAGTAAGTAACTAACTAACTAATAAGTATGAGAAGAGGTTTTCTGGAGCTCCTCAATGCTTTCAGTCTCATTCAGTGCTTCTAGGTTTTCCATAATGATCTAGCTTCAATTGATTCATAATCTCAACTACTAATGAATAATTGTAATTAACTCTTATTAATTTTCAATATTCATTATTCAATATTTACTATTATTCACATTTTATTGATCTGTAAAATAAAGCACTTTTTTATTATTATTTACAAATTTTGTACTATCACATTGATAAAGCAACAATGATGATTACATAATTTTAAAGAAAAGAAATGAATATTTATCGAATGATCGATTTATCTGGAACAAGAATCATATCAATGGACACGTGAACACGTAAATAACGTGACTTCATTTCGTTATGTTGTTGTTTATTTTGTTGTCATATGATAGATAGATAGATAGATAGATAGATAGGGGTAACTAGTCTAGTTAAATATAAATAATATAACAATAAACATTTGTCATTGAATAATGTTGTGATGACCTTGACTAATCTGTTTTAATATAGATGATTGTTATAATTTCCCATTAATTTTTAAGAATTTATATTTATATAAGGCAATAGGATACATGTTCATGAATTTGCCTTTTACTATATAATATATTTGTAATATCTAATATAGATGCCCCCACATGCCCTGGTACGGCTGAGAGTGGGGAGAGTTCGCTCTCCCTCTCTAAATGCTCTCACATGGTCACGCGTATATAACCTCTGTCAGGGAAGTCCTACTCACTACCTTCTCGTGGCGGGGTTGTTGTTTACGAAATTGAGAGGAAGAAAAGCGAATGTCCAGCACTTTAACCGGGTTGGTGAACATGGAGAGTCCACCAAGGGGAGTTGGAAAACCTGATTCCAAACCAATGGTGCACATGGGCTCCAGTATCCTGCGGGAACAAATGGCGTATGAGCCAACCGTTGGTCACTGGCTACCATGGGACTGCATCTCCTTACGATGCTCTACTGCCTTGTGTATCAGACCTTCAGGTCGAAGGCTCCGGGTGTGGCCACCTAAGAAAACCACCTGCTTCTGTTTGGGCACCCGGGCAGTATCACAGCCCTCACACATATCGAATGAGATTTGTGTGGCGCATATGTATCTGGTGCCTCCTTGTACCAATATCTATGTGTTAAAATAAATAAATAAATAAATAGACAAAATATCTAATATTTTTCTATTCATTTAGTGATTGAATACTACACTAATTATAAGAGGATTTTAGGCGAGACTATAATTTATGGACGAAGCAATCACGTATAAGGTAACAGGTCTCGGATTTTGGCGCGAAATTCACTTGTTCATTCGGATAAACAGAGTTTTGGCATCATAGCTGATGTCAGTTCGTGAAGAAAACCCTAAATCTAATTTCTAACCATAATCATCAACCGTAAATCATGATTCTAATTGCTCACACAGGTTTATAACCCTCATTTGGTCTTAGCTATTAGGTGGACACTCTCAAGATCAGTCTTACTTCGCTCAAAGGTCGTCCATAAATTATGATCCCACCGGATTTCATTTCAAGGACAAACTTCAATTTTACTTTTTTTTCAAATCTGGCATGTTAGGATATGCTACTACAAAGTGTTCACAGAAAACATTTCCCGATAGCTTAAGGTGATTGAAATGAAGTTATCCGTGAACATTGCACCTATATGCCGTACTCCCCCACTAAATGAATGGAAAAATAACTGAAAGTATTGGATAAGGCATGGTTATTAGACATTGAAAGTGTCGAAAATAACCTGTTTTTTTGTTTTAAATATTTTAAAAAAAATACGATAAAACAACTATGACATAGAGGCCTGTTCAAACCTCTTGTCCATCCTATTTTCTAGATATACAAAGACAGCTCGGGAATCATACTTTAATTTTTGCCTGCACAATTGAAATATATCGTAAAACTGGTCGAAAGATATAATGGGTGACGATAAGTGACAGATAACCAATGAAGGAAACACGTCCAAATATGTAGTTTTCTAGGATTTCTGCCAGTTAACTGAAGACTTAGGTCATCATCACTGTTTACATTGTTAACTTCGTACATCCTATCCGACATTTTTGGTGCTTTTTTCGTTCATTTAATGGATGAGTGCTAAATACCAGAGTATGATTTTAATTACTTTTCATTTCAAGTTATAATGATTAACGCATATTTGCATTTTTCTCCACGTTTGCCGGGCTATATTACAGTTGTATATGACTATAGCCTTGAATGAACATAATGTATGAATTCATTCTTTTGTTGCACATTTTATACTGAGGATTTTTTCCACCATCAAGCATATAGTACTGAGTATTATTATTATCATTAGTCATATATGGAAAACTTTTTAATTTAAAATAAACTTACGGTGAAATTGGACCTGGTTGAATTGTCCATGATGTTTCGCCTAGACCTTGCCATCGATTAAACGCATAATAACCACAAGTTTCTAAATGTATAATATAAATCATGTATATGATAGTTCGTGCAAGTCGTACTGCATAACCAGCATTTAAGCGCTGATCTAATTTTTCGAATGCTTCCCAAAATGCATTTATCTTGGTAGGAAAATAAATTTTTGAAGAATTTACTTGTATGTGTAATATTTTTATTTAGTTCACATAAAATATAATACAACCGATCACTAAAATTAGAATCTTCTACACAAAATAGAATTTTGTCGTCTGGGTTACTGTTCAGGAGCCAAGAAGTTATTTCTCAAGCCTCTAGTTCAAAGGTTCAGTCCACAAGGCAGTGGGACATCGTCAAAAGTTGTCGTTCAATGATAGACGGTGGTCCAAAATCAGAGTTTTTCGACTCCTTTCATTGGACTCTGTTTCCACTTCCCACATTTAAGTCTGGATTTTTGTCTCTTGTCCTCTCACTTTGTAAAAAATGTCCCTATCATGTGAATATAGTGGGCAGGATTACCATGGCATAAACTGTAAACGCATATATACATACATAATGAATAACTATTGCTGACAAGCGAGGAAACATTCATGCTAATTGTTTGAACAGCATTGAAGGAAAATATCACGTCTGTTTGTAATCATTATATGAAGATATATATATATATATATATATAAAGCACCTTTCTGAAATTTAGATCATTTTTATTACCTGAGTAGGCCATAAATCAACAAAAATTACTAAATAGTCAGTCAACTTTTCTTGTGTTTAAAACAGTCCGGTTGGAAAAGCTACATGCAATGCTGATTTCGTTAAAGACCACTTGGATATGTATCGCTTTCGCTAACACAATAACATATTTGGTGTGAAATGTTTGTAACTAATAAGGAGAAAACTTTAAACCTAGTTCGTCTATTTATTGACACATATTAGTAGTATGTACTTGCTAAGTTGAGTAGAATCATTTTTCTTGATAGACTTTAACTGACATCACTCAGTGTTATAGTTATAACTAATTAAAGAGTGTCTTTGTCTTGTTAGCTACAATCGATGAGTAATCAAAACTCTGTAAAGTAGTTAAGAAATTGATATCAAGCAATACAATAAAAGAGTTGGCATACATTGAAAATGGATATGAAGAAGAAATTATTAAGAATGACAAAAAATTGTCATCCTGAAAATCGCAAACGTCCAACTATGGAGGAAAAACATTTTTTATTCGACTCGTATTTAAAGAAGATAAGACGGTGGAGAAGATTTGTAGCTCAGGTGGATGATTTTGATGGAGTTTTGTTCTCTGAGCTGGATGGTTTGGTCATGGAGCTTTCATCGTTCTTCTGAACGACATCATCAGCACAAACTTCAGTTTGAAGTGAAGTGGAGAAATTCGAACACTTCACTTCTATTTGAAGTTTGTGCTGATGATGTCGTTCAGAAGAACGATGAAAGCTCCACGACCAAACCATCCAGCTCAGAGAACAAAACTCCATCAAAAAAAGAGATAAGACTCCAAGTAGAATTAATAAATTAATAAAATAGTCATCAACAAGGAACTTCTATTCCGTTTAGTTGGTTCTAATATATACTGCTTAAAGTATGTGTATGGAATAGACTGAGAAAAGGACATCTATTAAGTTGTTTTGAGTATATCCATCTTTGAAGAGAAGTTGAGTGTTCAAAAATGGGATTACTAGACACTAAATGGGTTAAAAAACTTAGGTTAAATATTACGTAAGCCCCTAATATAATCTACAAACAACGAAGGATAGTTTTACTAAACTTTTGGACATTAACGCTATGACAAGCCTCCAACCTGACTCATGTACATGGAAGGCAAACCACTTTTTACCACCGTAAAATACCTACGAAGGTGCAAATTCACTTATTACATAATCATTTTAAAATTATTCACTGTTTGTCATCATATTTCTCGTCCATATGATTTTCTATCTTGTTTCAAACATCATATAAAATATGTTGAATCTCTGCTTTTAACCATACTATTCTTTGTAACTTTAGACTGTTTAAGGCAGATAAAAGTGAACTATGAATTCATTTTATTCTGAAAATTTTATTCCTCTTGTTTTGTTCAAGTACGTGTTACCCATCCAGCTAGTCGGATTTAGTATAGCCTTCTGTATACCTGAAATGCTTCTCATAAGTTTCTGTCACTGAGTACCGAATTCACCAAGTGAGCATAGTTCATATTAAATCGATAGAATCCCATCATGTTACAATATCGGTCACAACTTAATTATTGATTTAATCTAATATCAGTTTTACATCATCAATATTAACTTACTTTGACCAAACGAAAAACACGAAAACGTGCCATATCTTTTTCATAAAACAAGGAGAATAAATCCAACGGTATGATTGAAATGACATCAATCTAAATTAAGAGGATAAAATCAAAGCTAATTGGATTCGATCACTTATTGAATGTGAATTATTTATTCGTTTAAATGCAAGATAAAAGTAAAAAAATTTGAGAAATTGTGCTCAATGGGATGGCTCGCATAATTTGTAATTAGCTTTAGCAGAATCATATTATATTTACGTCTGGTACAGCGAGATTATATGGCACTGACTTTCGAATCTATTTGTTATTAAATCACTTTTCATTCAAAGCTCTAATTTTTTATCTTTATATTTATATTACTAATAAGTAGTTGAAGATATATTGGATAATTTGATTAGGCACTCATGAAGTAACAAACGGAAATGAAATGATTGGGAACTACTTACTTATCCACGAAAATTTACAGAACGAGTAAATTTTGCTAAGAATTTTACCTATAAAGCAACATGATACTCCTGAAGAGCTTGGCCACCTACTTTTTATCCGTGCAAATATTACAATAAATTTACGTATTATTTCTATCGTAGGTTTGTGGAGTAATTTATGATTTAAGTCACATACTGATTTTAGTTGAACAACTGCTAAAAGCCAAGAAACACTGGTCAGAAATACTAAATAGTTACATACATTGATAAACTAACGCTCTAGTACTTCCTAGTTTTCGATTAACTTTCAGCTAAAACCAATCCATGACGCATTTTAAGCTGTATAACTATTCAAATACTCATAAGCTTTAATAGAAAGTTAGTATTCTAGAGTGAAGGGGATTGATATAGGCTTAATGAGGAACCTTCTGTGGGTATAGCACCTATTTGTACTGATCCACTCTCCGAAAATATAAAAATCAAAGGAATATAATTTACATATAATAACAAAAGAATAGGGTATGAGGGTGAACTTGGTTGCATAAATTATAGTCTCATCAACAGGATGAACTGAAGACTTTGCTGGGACGATTCTTGTCAAGATTTTCAAATGTTGAAAATACTATACCAAAACATTTAATCATTAGTCTGTACATTTAAAAAAAGTCATCATTTTCATCATCAAAATCAAAATCATTGAACTTACCTTAAATTGTAAACTTTTAAAATAATGTAAAGCACATGATTTAAAATCCGTCTACAATAAAGAGAATCAAAATGTGAAAAAACTCTGTATATCACATAACCTACTTTTGTGATACCTTGATCAAGAAATTCTATACGTGGTTTTAATAATAATATATCCAATAAATAAAGTGTATCCATCAACGAATTCAATATATACCATAATGTCATGTTATCTTCATCATCGTATATATTGAATGCTTCACGAAGTGGTATAGTAATATAATTGTATAAAACTGCTATCAATAAGAAACCTAACCATAGAAGATAAATATTGCCTATATATAGAAAGAGGGAAGAAAACAACAGAAAACAAAAACAATTATGAGGGAAATTCAAAGAAACTATTTAAGTAGTACAAAAAAGCCAATTTCAGAAATGAAAATTACCTAACATTAATAAATCAATCAAGAAAATACGAAGTGAATGCACTACAGTCAATTAATGAATGAATTCCACTTATTATTATTATCTATATTATCCATATCAACATACCAAACATTTTCAATAGTTAAGATCATGAAGCTAGACTACCATGGAAAACCTGGCCGACTGGTTTGTCTTATCGTGGGACTCCCCAGCAGTGCGCACCCACTATCCATCACGCGGGGCTCGAACTCGAAACCTTCGGTCTCGCGCTCGAACACTTAACCTCTAGATTAACTTCAACTAATCCTATAGGTCATGGTTTTGAAACTCGCGGGGTGGGATCGTGGATGCGCATTGCTAAGGAGTCTCACAATAGGACAAAATGGCCGTCCGGTGCTTCTAGCTATTGAAATTACTATATATCCACAAAATCCCCTTCTGACATTGATACCAAACACTGTTTATTAATTTAATTATTTCATATAAATATATCAATATACAGCTTTTAAGAAAGAAATCGTTGAAAAGTTTATTTATTGAAGTAATAATTAATTGCGGCATTTGAAGTATTAGATTGGGATATATGTGAAATACAATAATCTCTAGAAACTCCTTATGCTAATGATAGTCATGTACATACTTGTCTCTGATTTCTAAAGGCAGTTATCAGAGTTCTAGTGAGACGCTGAGATCAGTAGAGTTCAGCCATGTTGAACGTGAGATAGTTACTCACCAATGGTACTGGAAGATGGTTACCGAGTATAATGAATTGACGAAAGTTAGTAATGTAAATCTTTGGATGCTGACTTAGTGGTCTGGACATTAATCTTTTGCAACAAGACTTGGGGGTTTATAGTCCGATCTCTGGAAGAATTGTGAGTACGTACAGGTACAGAGTTGCATACCCGAATGGAATGACTGCCCAGTGGCTCTTGAGTTTTAATTTCTATATAACTAAGTTCACTTCTTGAGTTAAACTATAGGGTACTTGTAACAGCTAATATTTTGTAAAACAGAAAATTATTGTGTGTTTGCTACATACCACATCAGTCTACGGTAAACGATCAATATTTATGCAATCAAGTCAGTGAAAACATAATCCGTTATTATCTCAAATTCTCCTAAAATTTACTAAAGAACGCTGACTGGTTGAAGTCTCTTCACTATTTTCTTGGTTTTTAAATACTTTTCGAGGAACTATCAAGCATTCCCAAGAAAAATTGATCATTTATTCAACAAACAATTTTATGATGCAGTTTATTCATGTATAATTAGATTTTAGAGAATTTTCGAACGACATTGAAAGTAGCGAGGTACATATAAAGCTTATTTGTCCCTACTATTAATTTATTATTGAGTAGTGACCGATTTCATTTATGTCAAGTCGGTTGATGATAAAACAGCCCAATGATAAAGTCTCCATCCGTTAAGCTAGGTGACACGAGATCGAATGTATCAGGAAGCTTTAGTTCCCCTGAGATTACAGATACACCTTGTTGACGAGTAGTACCAAATAGTATGAAACCTAGACCTAACTATGTTTACCGTCGACTATTTCCAATTACTACCTTAACGATCATTTATCATTAATAGATGTAAAGAACTGAAAAAAACTAGAAAATGGTGAACTGTCTTCACTTATTAGTTTATATGATAAATAAAAAAAGAGTTCTACAATGTTGTATCCCGATAAGAATAATGAATGGTAATTTTTGGGATCCATTTATGGACCAATACTAAACGTATATTTTTATCGTATAATTGTTATGTAAATAAACTGTTCATATTCATGTCCCTCTTATTGTGAGCTTTATTCTGACATACGAACTATTATTATACGATTTACCATTCATGAATTATTCCTTGTCTGTTAATCGCTACCTTCCTCATTCACAGCCACATCTGGCTAATTCTTGTACAAATGTTATTTTCTGTTTTATGGTACGTTGTGGTCGGTTTGTTTGGTATATAAACTCAGTATGCTTGAAATATAATGATTCATATCTTAGAGGCTGAGACTTGCGTTCTGGACTCAACTGGCTAGGCTAGACAGGGAAGCAGGACCAATCAGGACTCTAGGTTGCTCGTACGTGTTTTACGCGTCTTTGGTCCGATCGATAATACATTGCCGTCTAATCTGCAGTCACACAGTTATAACATACAACTTGATCGATAGGATTCGATCTGCACCTAAAGGGATCTGACATATATGACACTGATCACTACCCAGTGATGAATCAATTGTAAATACATCTCAATCCAAAAGTTTTACAACAGTGGAGAAGATTTGTAGCTCAGGTGGATGATTTTGATGGAGTTTTGTCCTCTGAGCTGGATGGTTTGGTCGTGCAGCTTTCATCGTTTTTCTGAACGACAACATAAGCACAAACTTTAGATAGAATGGAAGTGTTCGAATTTCTCTATATGTGTTCCACAGCTCGTTCTGTACACCTCGACATTGGTTGGTTACAACAGTCAATACTCAAATAATATTAGTTCATTTTTTGAATTAAAACTTTCTGGAAACAAATCTTATCAAGCGACATTAGAAAACATGTACTCTTAAAGTATAGAAAGCAAAATATTTTGAACTTACTATACGGTGATATAGTTGCACTAAATACATCTTTTAATCCTACTAACCATTCTGGTAAAGGAATTGATATTTCTTTAAGTTTGACACATTCTTGTCCAATAATTTCAGCTATAAAATAAATTAAAAAAATTAATCAATAATCTTTCTTTTCAATAATGACATATCAGAATAAGGTATTTATTATAATGTAAGTAATAATGTTTGTAAAAATCCGATCATTTAAATACCTTACAATGGTATGGTGAACGAGAATATAGAATATCTTAGTTCAATCTGCAAATCATATAGTAAATAGTTTATTTATAAAATGTCTCCTACTTCAACATTCCTTCATTTCTATATCAATTATTCTTTATTCTCTTTCTCTTCTCTTCAATCTTCTCAGTCTTCTATCTCTAGGTATTTCACTTTCTTCAATTGACAGGGAATTCTCATTTAAACATTAAAAATTAAAAACACGAAATTCAACGAAAGGACCTCTTTTCAACGAATTTATTATCAAGCTGTACAATCGTATATATGTATATATGAAAATGTTTTTTGTAAAAGTACTAATTCCGTGAGGAAATGTGAACACAAATAACCAAGATGACGTTCGTATGACGTAATCTAGTATAAGAATCTTTCTATTACGTCATCTTGGTTATTTTTGTTCACATTTCCCTACGGAATTAGTACTTTTACAAAAAACCGTGACCAGTGGAGTTCAACCAGGTTTGTTGTGAGACAGTAACTCTCTGAAGACAATGGTGTATGGTGGCGCAACTTCGTGGATTGGTTGAAGTTAGACATTAACAACACTGGATGCCGGCTCAGTGGTCTAGGGTTCGAGTCCCGCTGGGTGCGAAGTCGTGGGTGCGCACTGCTGAGGAGTCCCATACGGGAGCGGAACGACCGTCCAGTGCTTCCAGGTTCTCCATTGTGGTCTAGCTTCGATTGACTCATGATTTTAATCTGTGAAAATTCTAAAATCTCCACAAACCCCTTCTGATAATTTTCATATATACATATATACGATTGTACAGCATGATAATAAATTCGTTGAAAAGAGATCCCTTCGCTGAACTTCGCGTTTTTAATTTCACTTTCTATTGGTGATATATACTACTATTTGTTGATATCGGTAGTAGACACCAATGTAGTAGTAATATTCTACGTGAGTTGTTTATTTTTGATTAGTACATTTTAGATAGCCTCCATTTTATTCATGAAGACAAGGTTTCACATGAAATCTCTAACAAAAATAACTGAGTTATAATTAATGCGTCATTTAGAAATGATTAAATGATGAATTAACTTGTTGAACATTATTGAAAGTCTTATCTGTTTATTATTTAAACACCAAATCACCTATTAATTTTTAATTGATAGAATAAAATTAAAATGAATGACTATTTACTTGTTAAGTTCTGTTATCATTGGAAATGGTACTTATTTAAGAAACAGAGAATCGAGATTCAAATGTACATAGCATCAATCAAAAGATTCATACCAGAGTTAATCTCTTCGGAAATGATAACAGAGTTAAACAAGTGATTATTCTTTTATAATTGATTTAAGACAAGCATTCATCATTCATAAATCTTTCTTAAAGTATATTACTTAATGAGTTACACAATATACTACTACTACTACTACTACTACTACTGATAATAATATTATGCAGCTTTAATTACATTTCTATGGTTTAAATACAAATTATTTGTAAGTAAACAGTAAATTTCTTTACTCTTTACTGTTATACTGAATATATATATATATATATGGTTGTTTTCTATCTGCTGAAATTCTATTGATATCTTCTATTTAGCCCTGACAAGTAACAAAATTATCTTTCAATTTAAATCATTACTTATACACATTCAATTGTTTATTGTTAAGGAAGGATCTTGAATTAAAATTAGACCTTTTTTCTTCATTTAGGATTCTTTCATCAAGTATAATAAATTCATTATAGAGAAAGAAAATCACGATCGCAAATTACAAGGAGCTTAATTAAGCTATCAAGTAATAGAAATCAGACAATTTGAAAAGATAGTGACTATTTACAATTGATTGATCACTGGATGGTGATCTATATAATGTATGTTAGGTCTCTCTGAGTGCAGATCGAATTCTACCGACCAAGTTGCAATGTGGTCACCAGTCTAGGTGACTCGACATAACGCGCACTATGTTGAGATAAGATTGTGGTTGAAGGTAGTCTACATGAAACTCTGGACCTACGTTTCGTGCTACTTGTTACTCGTCAGCAAGTTGTACTTGTAATCTTGCGGGAACTGATGCTCAATGACGGATTCGGTCCCGTGCCACCGAGCTTCACATTCAGAGACGTTACCATTGGGCTATCTGGGCCGCGAGTGACTGCAATGTCAAGTCACCTAGACTGGTGGCCACATTGCAACTTGGTCGATAGGATTCAATCTGCACTAAGAAGGACTGACATTTATGACATTGGTCACCACCAAGTGATCAACCAATTGTAAATACATCTAACTCCTACAGGAGTTCAGTCATAGCCTGGGTAGCTCAGTGGTAACGTCTTTGACCATGAAGCTGGGTGACACGGAATCGAATCCGTCAGTGAGCACCAGTTCCCTCAAGATTACAGGTACATCTTGCTGACAAGTGCCAAGTAGCATGAAATGTACGTCCATGTTTCATGTCGACTACCTCCAACCACCATCATATCTCAATATAGTGATTATTATTCTGAAAGGATTTCTATTATGTTGTAATAATTTGTAAGAAGTAATATGCATTTTTATAAAATTTCCACATTATTATATCTCCGAGTTCTAATTGTATAAAACTGTTTTAAATATATAGTAAATGGTTATTTGAAAGTTTTAGGGAGATAAATTGCAGTTAATTTTATAATAGAGTTATATTCATTGAGAAGCTAATGAAAAGCATTTCATTTAAGAGTGGAGCTCCTAGGTAATGGAAATCAGAGACCATACTCAGTGTCTTCAGGCCATTTGATGAGCGTTTGATATTTGAACCAATCAAACTGTAATATAGAAGAATATCATTCAAATCATTGGTGGGTGACTAACTTACTGAACACACGAATGAATTCTACCAGTAGCAAATTCTCCTTAGAATGATGGAAATTCAATTTGAAGTCAGTCATTAGTAATTATTAGACAAAAGAGTTATAATGATTAAAAAATTACCGTGACTGATTATAGCGTTGATAATGTTTGTTCTTCGCACGTAACAAACAAGGAAATTCGTAATATAATTGATGTTTCCTAGACTTTATTGAATTATTGACTAGCTCTGTTAAATATGATAGGTAAAGATGTAAATATTGTACATGTTTTTTAAAGTCAACATTAATAACTATTCCGCTTAGAATCCTGAAGGGAAACGGAAAAGAGAAAGACCAAATAACACATTGCGTCGAGAATTGGAAACAGACATCAAAAGGATCAATGGAACTTGGAAATAACTGGAAAGGATTTTACAGGACAGGGTTGGATGGAGAATGCTGTTGGACGACCTATGCTCCTCAACAAGGGGTTTCAGGCGTAAGTAAGTAAGTAAGTAACAACTATGTTAACCGGTACAGTCGATGAAATATGGACGATTTGTAAATATGCGTATTATAACGTACTTAATATTACGAACTAGACATGATTTCCACTGCATGTTAGGTCATCATATGTATGTCTACTGCTAACCATCTAATACTCAAACATAATGCACTTTGTATAGAGCCAACTAGACTGGTAATAATGTTGCAATCTAGTCTAACAAATTCTATTAGATCTGGAAATCGGACAAATAAGACACTGGCTTTTATTTAGTGATCATTCATTGTAAACATTACTGATAACATAAACCATAATTCCAAATTGACATTATATAATGCACAACACAACTTGTAATTCAAAGAATCGTGACCTTCTTCATAATACAACAGTCACAACAGCAAGTAACTGCCTCAGATATGTACCAAAGCGTTAGCTATAGGACTCCTATTCAGCCTTTCAAAACTCGAATGTCAATACGATTGGAACATAATACAACAGACAATACATTCGATATAGGGTTCGAGTACTAGATCATTGTTTGAAATGTGAAATTGATATTCTAAAATTAGTTCAAACAGTATAAACCAAGATCTCCAGAATATTTTCTAATCTCTCATTCTGAAATATTTTAACTGTTTTCAGTTATCTTATAGCGGGTTAAATGTTGGTGGAGTTTTGTTCTCTGAGCTGGATGGTTTGGTCGTGGAGCTTTCATCGTTCTTCTGAACGACATCATCGGCACAAACTTCAGATAGAAGTGAAGTGTTCGAATTTCTCCATATGTGTTTCACAGCTTGTTCTGTGCACCTCGATGTTGATTGGTTCTTGTTGACCTTAAATTTATCATTGTTTACTTCTTTGTTTTGGTTGTGTCTCCCATTGGTTTGATTTTTGTTCCTATATTTATGCATGATTTTCCTGATTGGTTGATAAATTGGATTAATTTCAATATGTTTGTTGATTGCTGATTGACCTGAGTGCCAAGCTTCTAATGTCGTTCAGAAGAACGATGAAAGCTCCACGACCAAACCATCCAGCTCAGAGAACAAAACTCCACCAAAATCATCCACCTGAGCTACAAATCTTCTCCACCATCTCAAAATCATATGAGCGTAATACGCTTCTCGTTGTTCGAAAATGGGAGAATTTCGCCAAAAGGCAGGCTTCCACTCGAGAACAACTGTATTTTCTCCATGAGTGTCTTCGCCAGCATGTTCTACCAACAGGTGTAAGATATAGACCTCCAATCAACTGCCCATTAGGATGGAGAATTGCCGAGCAAAGTGGAAGAAAAATGGTACACCTAATGATAACGGATGCACACTACAGGATCTGCAAATACCAACACGTCATAGAAGACCAAAAGATAAAGCTACAAAGGATGCTCACATCAGAACATTTGGAAATCGTGACAACAGCCATCGAGATATCATGCAAACGACATAGAGAACAAAGAAGAAACACCTTAAAGAAAAAACTAATCAAGATCTCAAAACCACCCATGGAAGAAAACACAAACAACTGCGTGATCAATCTGTCAAAACAACCACTAACAAATACGGAAGAACACCTGCTCCAAAAAGGATTAAACTACAATACAAGCGACGCCTCAAAGCTACAGTTCTTCGCAGCACTAGAGTCATCACTCAAAACTTCCGGAATCAGTGAAGAAACACAACAGGAAATAAGGCAAACTATAGTACCGATAACTCAACAGGTGAAAGAAAACAACCAACTGACTCCACAAGAACAAAAGGCCTTGAAAGAACTCAGAAATAGAAAAGATATTATCATAATACCAGCGGACAAGGGACGCACCACAGTAATCATGGACAAAGAAGAATACATCAACAAAACCGAAGAACTACTCGAAGATAAGAGCACATACAAACTGATGGACACAAATCCCGTCAAAAAATTAGACAATCAAATCTCAAAGACTTTAAACAGGCTAGTCAAAGCAGGAGAAATAACAAAACAAGACCAATGGAGAATGAAATCCAGTGGACCAGTACTCCCTCGATTCTACGGTAGACCCAAAATACACAAACCAAACATTCCACTACGTCCGATAGTAGCACTCCCCGGAACGTCAACATACAATTTGTCAAAAGAAATTTCACGAATACTGAGACATCTAGTAGATTCAGCCAAACACTCCATCAAATACCCAACACAATTCCTGGACCAAATTAAGGATATTCAAATCAACAACGACGAACTCATGATATCCTTCGACGTAACAGCACTGTTCACCTCAATTGAACCACAGCTAGCAAAAGAAACTATATCCCTGCTACTCAACAACGACACAAATCTCACCAAATACACGACGCTTCAAATTAAAAGTCTACTGAAACTCATCGATTTATGCCTAACAACATATTTTCAATTCAACAACAAAATCTACGAACAAACAAAAGGGAGACCAATGGGATCACCAATATCAGGACTGATCGCAGAAGCAGTGATGCAAAGACTAGAAGCCACGATATTACCAGTGATCAAGCCAAAAGTTTTGATTCGCTACGTAGACGACACCTTTGTCATCGTCTAAAAGGATGAACTGGAAAACACATACAAGCTGATCAACAACGTTTTCAACGACATCAAGTTTACAATGGAACAGGAGTCAAACAACCAACTGGCATTCTTGGATATATTGATCACTAGAACCGATACAGGAAAACTGGAAACTCAAGTATATAGGGAACCGACCCATACAGATCAAATCCTCAATTACAACAGCAACAACCCAAGAGCTCACAAAAATCAACTGCGTACACACATTGTTCAAGAGGGCGAGGACACACTGCAGCATACTGGCAGCACGGAAAAATGAAGAGAAATACCTGAAGGACATATTTCAAAAGAACGGCTACCCAATCAACTTCATCAAAAAGCACCAACGGCACACAGCATCAAAACCCAAATCAAGCACAGAAATCAACAAAAGGATCACCCTACCGTACATACAAGGAATATCAGAAACCGCAACGAGACTGCTGAAAACCTTCGGGATAGGTGTGGCACACAAACCAACAAAATCATTACAATCAATCCTATGCAAACTAAAAGATGAAATAAAGGAAAACAAATCAAACATCATCTACAAAATAAATTGTACCAACTGCGACAAACACTACATCGGACAAAGCGGACGCCCCCTCCACCTACGCCTACATGAACACCAATTAGCAGTCAAACGCCATGATATCTCTTCACTTATATCAATACACGTGGATAACTACGGACATTCATTCGATTGGGAAAATGTAGAAATCTTAGACAGAGGAAACTCCAAAAACACCAGAGAATTTTTAGAAGCTTGGCACTCAGGTCAATCAGCAATCAACAAACATATTGAAATTAATCCAATTTATCAACCAATCAGGAAAATCATGCATAAATATAGGAACAAAAATCAAACCAATGGGAGACACAACCAAAACAAAGAAGTAAACAATGATAAATTTAAGGTCAACAAGAACCAATCAACATCGAGGTGCACAGAACAAGCTGTGAAACACATATGGAGAAATTCGAACACTTCACTTCTATCTGAAGTTTGTGCTGATGATGTCGTTCAGAAGAACGATGAAAGCTGCACGACCAAACCATCCAGCTCAGAGAACAAAACTCCACCAGAATTTATACATTATTAATTCATATACATATGACAACCTTATTTTGTAAGCAGAGACAGATAATGGATTGCAATGATGTCCAGGACATGCGTTTCGTCTTATGTGGAACTCGTCATTCGGATTTGTCTGCTTTCTATAGTTGTTCACTTCGAGACTCGAAACTTAGTACCGTTCATTTCAAACTCCATCATATTATCTACTTATCTACTGAGTCTACGTGGTCATTGACTTGTGCAAACAAATGAATCTAATTCTGTGTTTATTAAATATATATATTAGTATGTAATTAATATATACACATACGCTGTTCTGTTTCTTGTTCTGATGCTTTAATCACTTTAACTTCTTCTTGTTGTTGCTTCTCATTATCCTCTGGATTTTGTATACTGAAACATGGTAAATTAGGTTTTGATATAAAATATTTTCTGCTTGATGGTAAACACGTTAAACAAAGAGGTTGACGTATTATTAATTTTCGATTAGGATATCTTTTCCACCATCCAATTGATCTTTCTTTTTGAATTTCTGTTGTTTTAAATTCTCCACCTAATTGAAGTTCATTTTCATCGGATTTTGTTGGATCTGTACCTATAATGAGTTATATTATTATTGATTTTGAAAACGAAAATAATATTGAAAGCGAGTTAAGATTGAGTAATAACAGAATTTGTCACAAGAAAGGTTACTGAATCAATAAAATCAATAATATTGAATAATTTATATGATGAACTAAACTTAGTAAAACAGCCATTGAGAACCAAGATGTACTGGACATAGTATTGAACTGTTCATCAGTGTAGATCGATGACCCTACCATTGATCGAACCCAAGATCTGCAGTATTGAACTTTACCTTCAAACCACTGATAGTGTATCAAATGGTTTATATTTTATCACATCAATTAGTTCGAGGTATTTTGAACCGCACTTTTAGGGAAATTAATGGGAAGCTGTTTCAAATCCGGCTTGGTTAAACTCGACTGGTCACCAATTATGTAATAAGTTCGTGTTAGGACTTATACAAAATCCTTACACTAAAATTAAGGATAATCAAGCTATGTTGATTGAAGTATGTCAACTATACGTTAATAACCTTATTGTAATATGCAAATGTGTTAAATTCATTTTGTAGTTTGCTTCATGAATTGACTTTTGCTAGACAACTATTGGAGACTGAGTAGCACTGAATATCTAATTTATCTCAACGACGAACCTCTCAACAGTATTCACTGAAATTTCTACGGTGAACCAACCCACAAAGTTGTGGTGAGAAATTCTTTTTGAAGTTCCTTAATTATCTGACCACCTATTTGGAGATATTCAACTTTCATCAACTGTCGTAGATAGCTTTCTTACACTTCACCTCACTGAATTCTACTAATAATAGCACTTCAACGAAACGTCAGGAACTCCACTCAAATTTTATTACCAATGAGCATATATTTCTTCTTACCAAAATAAATTCTCAGAGAATAGTCTGTAGAGTTTCAGAGGTATATGTACAATTAGCTGGAACTCCAAAATATTAATAATATAGAATCCCTGTAGTTTCAGTAAAGTTGTGTCTTAACAAAAATTGGAATCCAGATTGAAGGTCTCATTTTACTTAGGATTCATCATCTGCATTTACCTGCATCCTAACTTTACTGAAGTTTGCTACTAATGCAGCAATATCTTGGCAGACCTATTGAGATGTACATACATCACTAAATGGTGATATGTTGTATTCTTTGACATCAGTAACAGGAAACTACGAACACTTATAAGATCATATGGAAAATTATTTGATATTTTAATCTCATTAGGAATAAAATTTTCACCTGGTTGTAAAGTATGTTTCAAGTGATCTATATCTATGAACTGCGTTCCATACAGTTTAAATAACATCCAAATCCAAGTGTAATTATGTCTCTCAAATAGTCAATTTAAGTAACCAATAAAAGAAACTTTAAATGAGTACATATGACCTTGAAATATAGAATACAATTATTTTTTAAATTACGTTCAGAAAGGTTTATGACTAGAACTATCCTAAAATTGTGAACAAGTCCATCTGGAAAATGCTACATTGTATCAATATTTCATCATTATAAATTGACTTTAAGTAAAATTACTGAAATCTCCTAATTCTGAACTTACAAGTTTCATTTTCATCAGATTCATTTTCACTAATTTCGACTTTCTCAATTTCTTTGGCTTTTATCAATTCTGTACGTTCTGTAAATTTTGTACGAAGTGTACGTAGTTTTTCTACAACCGATACACTGATATCTGAATCTGATCGTCTTTTATATAATGCAATATTGTACAGAAAAAAGAAAAAAAAAGAAAAAAAAAGAAAAATATTGGAGTTAGATTTGTATTCATGAAATTATATTCAGCGATTTCAATTAAGAAGCAAAATATATCCTAAAGATAAAACGGTACCCGCTGGACAAGATAGTGATTGTCCAAACTTGGTATATCGTCGGATAACACGTAGGTATTTGAAGTGAAATGAACTGTGTTTCAGTCTTAGTGTGAGCATCAACGCTGAGAAGCAAGGATATGAACATGATGAGTTGTAAATAAGATAAAAGATTCTTTCTGGATTCTTTTACCAGTGAAAATATATTCATTTTAAAATTTATGACTTCAATACATCAGTTATACGGTAACGTAGTACCTAGCACCTATGTGCATTTGGTTGAAGGTGTAGTAACTATGTAGTAACAGTACAGAAAAGATTATGCATAAGGAATCCTAATCAAGAAAATGTGATTTTGTAGAATGGACAGCTTCTTTGCAATAAGTAAGAAAATTAGGATCTAAACAAAAACAAAGAATTAATGCATCTGTACTATTGTCAAAAAGTTTGCTAAATGTCATTCAAATTAGGTGACCACTGGTTACTCTGATCTCATGGACTCCAAACAGTTAGTCTGTACTTGCCTATATGGCTTATTCCATCTGTTAATAGTTTCGTAGGCTGATGCCACGTTTCGTTTCGATCTCCTTTGGCTGTTTTATACCCTACTCCTATACCAGCCGTCGACGCGCGTCGAGATAACTGGTGGTGGGACATACGTGGTGCATACACTAGTCACCTTAGTTTTGTAGGATTTCTATAAACAAACATAAAATTATGGTTTATTCAACGATTTCAAGTATAAAATGTAATCTTTTAGGAGGAAATAAGGATTGTTCAGAGGAAAAAATACTGTCCTGACTATACAACTTATCGTTTAGGGTATTCTGTCTGACTGCTTGGAAAAATGATTTCAGTTATCAGCTTGATTCCTCGGGTATCCGTAAATATATCATCCTGGCAATTTCTTTAAATCACAGAAATGTAACTAATAAATTTATTTGATCAGCTCTTCAACATACTCTTCATTAATGAAATATTCTGTCTTAGTGAGATAAATAGTATAAATCATCTACACAGTCTACTTATGCAAAAATTTTCAGTTGTGACTTGTGGTGCTTGAGATACGATATTGATACGTATTATTCCTAGTAACGACCCCAATCGGCTACTCGAATGAAAAGACTGACAGTGAATATATATGTGTCCCAGTGCTAACAGAGACTGACCAATTCCGTTCTGAATAATAAAATTTGAAAACGAAAAACACTTGCAAATTATAGTATAAACCATACCCAAAGACTGAGTGGTGGATACTTTGATTTGGCCGTAATGTGGTTGGTGATTTGATGCTTGGCATAACAAGTAAAGCGTTTAACTAAATCTTACGTGCCAATTTATCTACATTCTCAACTCAAAATACTATGTCCGAAAAATAAGTAGGTTCATTTCTAACAATTTACTGTCATCATTATGGGGTTGTGCGAATTGTTGAATTTTATTGACACCACGGAACGATAAAAAATAGACAACCTAAAGCAATGGACGGTCTTCTCATCCCAGTATGGGACTCCTAAGCAGTGTGCACCCACGACCGTACAACCAAAATACAAACACAAGGCCCCCGCGAACGCTTAACCCTTAGACCATTGAGTTAATATCAAACAATGAATTCAATTGTTAAAAATACTACAATCTCTACAAATCCTCGCAATGATAATAATTGTGTTCTTCAAGATGAATTCCCTGGAGTTCTAGTGAAAAGCCGTGACTGGTGGAGTCCAAGTCGCATCGGGCGTGAGACAGTTATCCACCTCAGAAAACAGATGAATAGTTGCACAAAATCATGTATCGATTGAAGTTATACATTAACACTGTTGGATGCCGGCTCAATGGACTAGAAAATAAGCGTTAGCGTGTGAGACCGGGGTTCTTGAGTTCGCTTCTCGGTTGTGTGGTAGTGAGTGTCTACTACTGAGAAATTTCATACTATAACGAAACGACCGTCCAGTGCTTCCAGGTTTTGAATGGTGACCTAGGTTTAACCGACTGGTGAATTCAACTGTCAAACAGGTGGGAAGTAATCACATCAATATTGTAGAAGGTTTTTAAGGAAATAATTATCTTACAATATTAATAAAAATATATTATCTATGTAACTTACGCATTGCGTTGTGGAATCCCGAGGAAAGATGCATTTGTAGTTGTTCTGTTAAGTTTACTTTGTGCTTCAAATAAAAAAACAACAAAAAACGGTGCGGTTTAATTATACTGTTTAAATTGATATTTGAATAGCTTCCTCAAATAACTAACTACCATACTCGTTTGTGATTATGTTTAATAGCTCATCATATTACGATAGTTCAATCGTATTATCTAATTAAACTGAGAGTTTTCACTTAGACAAAATGAAAGAAAACTGTTTAATAGATCCATCGATTTTGATCTTCATAAACTAGACCTATAAATTTCATAAGAAATTTGTACAACCCTTCCCTTCAGTTTAGCTGTTAACATAGCTAATACTGAAAGGAGTGAAAAATGATTACATTCTTATGAGAATAAAATGATATTTTTGTAGTATACCCCTGCCATTCTTTATTCCCAGAGTCTTCAAATTTTCTCTTGTCGTTGTGCGTATACGTGATTGTCAAACGATTCTCTTCATTCTGACGTCATTATGATTGATGTTCGACCTCGTAACGAAATATTCCGCCAGTTCTCTTACTAGGTGTCGTGTCGATTCTTTATCTAGATGTTTTGATTCATTCAATTGTTCATTATTATCTCTGAATATTAACCATTGCATACAACTAATCTTTTGATTACCATGTAATGAATTCGTATTTATTTACATAAATATCTTTGAAATTGTAATATTACTACGTAATACAGCATTGATCAGTTGATATCAATTTTAACTTGTTATATTTAAGCATATATATTTGTATAGAGTCGTAAGAAATAAAAATGAAGCATTTCTTCACTTAGGCTTTTTCTACGTTATTCTACTTCATTGTTAAGCCATAGTTATGAAATAATCATTTTAACAAAATATTATTATCAGAATGGGATTTGTGGCGATTGTAGTAATTTTAACAGCTGAATAACACCATTGGATTATCATCAGTGCAGGGTTTTGAGGAGATTGCAGAATTTCTAATAGTTTAAATCACGAAGCAATCTTATCTAGACCATCATTGAAGACCAGAAAGCACTAGAAAGCTATTCTGTCCTAGTGCGGGGATTCTTAGCAGTGCGATCCACGATCGACCAATGGTCTAAAGGTTGAGCCACATTTCGGTTTCCCACGATCTCCAGTCAACCTGAATGGCAAGTTAATGTAGGTCCTACGACTCTTTATAAAGTTGAAAAAGCTATAGGAAATCTGAAACGAGGGAGAGCAGCAAGCCCTGACAGGTTTACTCCTGAGATTTTTAAGGATGGTGGTCCAGTATTAGCAGTGAGATTAACTGAGGTCTTAGGTAGAATTTGGGAACTGGACGTAATCCCATCTGACTGGTCTCAATCACTGATTGTGCCAGTCTATAAGAAAGGACAAAAGTCCTCTTGTGACAATCACAGAGGAATCAGTTTGACTAATATAGTGTCTAAAATATTAGCTTCAATAATATTTCGACGCCTAACTAAAGCTTGTGAAGATCAGATTAGAGAAAATCAGGCCGGTTTTCGACCTGGACGTGGTTGTATAGATCAGATATTCACACTACGTCAGGTTCTAGAACACAGATACACGTTCAGACGCCCCACAATGGTAGTATTTCTCGACCTTAAGGAAGCATTCGACTCTATTGATCGTGAGGTTCTATGGCAGTGTTTGTCACTGAAAGGAGTACCAAAGAAGTACATTAACCTTATAAAGGCTCTCTACTTGAACACAACTGGTCGAGTGAGAGCTTATGGCGAACTGTCATCAGAATTGATCACCTCAAGTGGTGTTCGTCAAGGCTGTCCACTCTCTCCATTCTTGTTTAGCTATATCGTTGACGTTATTTTAGAGATAACACTTTCCTCATCTAAATTTCCAGGGGTTGAACTTCTACCAGGAGATTCACATTTTGACCTAAAATATGCCGATGACATAGTTCTATTTGGTGAAGACCTGACAAAATGCAGAGTCTTCTGACCACTCTAAGCAACAATGCAGGCATGTTGGCATGCGGTTCTCCCCCTCGAAATGCAAAATGTTGCTTCAGGATTGGGTTGCATAGACACTCGAACTAATGATAGGGAGTGAAGTAGTTGAGTGTGTCGACCGCTTCACTTATCTTGGAAGTCTCATCAGCCCTTGTGGTCTGGTGTGTGACGAAATCTCAGCACGGATACAGAAGGCTCGACCAGCTTTTGCCAACTTGCGTCATTTATGGCGTAGGCGAGATATCCGTCTATCAACCAAAGGACGTGTTTACTGCGCAGCAGTTCGTTCCGTCCTACTTTATTGCAGTGAAACATGGCCGGTAAGAGTAGAGGATATCCGTAGGTTACTAGTATTTGATCACAGGTGTCTTCGAAACATTGCTCGCATATCCTGGGATCATCGAGTAAGCAAGGCAGTTGTTAGGAAACGGGTACTAGGTAAGGATGGCAAATCCATTGATGAAGTAGTGAAACTTCATCAATTGAGATGGCTGGGACACGTGTTACGTATGCCCAACGACCGAGTGCCTCGACGTGCGATGTTTTCTGGTATAGAAGTAGGTTGGGAGAAAGCTAGGGGAGGTCGGACCAAAACATGGCACAAGTCCGTGAAGTCACTGACAAGTGGACTGAGCCATGTTGGTAGGTGTAGACTACCTGGTTGGGGACCACGAGGTGATAGCAACCGATGGTTAGAGACCCTGAATGACATGGCTCAAAGTCGTTTGCAATGGCGCAGGTGCATCCACACTTTGTGTTCTCCCAGATTATAATCTTCTAACCTCTTCATGTCTCTTTTTTCCTCTTTCCAAATTTATTTCACTGGATTATACTCCTTGAATAACATCCTCAAACCCTAATCTTTCGAACTACTGCTTATACTCTTACCGCCTCTACCACTACGAGATTTGAATCGACAACTGCATCTCTGTGCTAATGTGGTGTGACAACTCGAACTGATGTACGTACGTATGTACGGAGTTCTACGTTGTCACTGACTGAACTTTCTCGGGCGAAATCGATGATCTTGGGTTCTATCCGTTTGGGTGAGATCGTTAGTGTTCATCACTAAAGGGTCCCATATTATGACGAAACAGGTGTCCAGTGTTTCGTGATTTCCATTGTTGATTTAAACTACTAGTGGATTGGTAAACATTTATCCAAATAATCTGTTTATAACACTCTCATCTCTTTAACTTTTGCATAAATAATTGTCATACAAACTTACGGAAAGCAGCTATCGCTTTTTCCATAGCTTCTCTACTAATTGATATAACAGGTTGTGATTGCTCTTTTTCATCAGTAGAATCTTTAATTTCTTCCGTCATCTAGATAAAATATGTCTGAAAAACATAAAAAAATATGGGTGAAGTCACTAATTAAAGAATATTCCCCAACATAACAACGTCAAATTAATATGTTTTCGTCCATAATAAAAAATCATCATTATAGGGATCGTTGAAATTTGCCACAATCCCTATGTCGAATAGAAATACACTGATCGTTCACACAGTCCAATGATAATCATCGCTGATAATATTTCAGAAATGCTCATACCAGCAATTATACCTCATTCCTTTAGTGAGATTATGTAAACGTTAAATATACGATCACTGTTATTATTAAGCATACTCGTGGTCTATGCCACTTATGTCGACATAAGTAGTATATAGCGCCAGTCAGAGGTGGAAGTCCTGGCAGCATAAGGTTGGGAAGATGGAATCGAAGAGAACGGGAACAGAGATTAATTGTTGTGGCGATGAAGGAACAATGAACTCTGAGACAATTGATGGAATATCTGCAAATCAAGTATTTTATGTATGGTCCCTATATTTCATGAAGATACGCAGTAATTTTGTGTTACAGCATATTGGGTTATCCCCACCTGTGTTCTCGTTAATAACATACTTATTGAACATCATTTCTGTGATGTAGTTTTATCCATTGGTTTGAGTACAAGCTTATATTATAAAAGCATTACTCTATATCTGGTTAATCTCAAATATTATCCCAACTGCATCATTCACTTTGTTATTGTAAGGATATATATAATACAGTAGCATAGTTTAAATAAGTAGATCATGAAACAATCAAACATATATATGTTTTAATAGTTGAATACATGAGCCAACTGAAGCTAGATCACCATGGAAAACCTGGAAGGACTGGAAGGCCGTTTCGTTACTCAAATGTCACTCATTTTTTGAACTATCGTTAGATGAAGATAAACACATATATAAAAACAGAACTATCACAGTAATTTTTATTATCGTTTCGTGCTCTCTGTCTTCATTTTCTACTTTTCAGCTGTAGATGATTAAAAATACCCTGTAACAGTACTGGGACCATCCGTTGACACATTATTCATTCTCAAACATAAGGTATTAGCCTTAATGCCACGAAAATATTGATTCCCTACTGAGGAGTCCCATGTAAAATCTATTATTCCAAAGCACATATGATATTGTAGCCACTCCACTTTCTTGGTGCACTTGCATTCTTTTAAAACTGCTTACTAAAGTTAACTATTTGCATGTAAAACTGATGACTATTGCGATGTATGCTTCGATAGCACTTTTGTATTCAAGAATGCTGTCTAATATGATTACGAATTTTAGCAACATTACATACTTCACATGATCAGCATCATTGTTATAAGTGTTCACTCAAAATAATTTGTAAACCATATCTTTTCAAACAATGCATTCTTACTTGTTTACAAATGTCATATTGTCGTTGAATTCATGAGTCAATTGCAACTAGATCACCATGGGAAACCTGGAAGCATTGGACAGCCATTTCGTCCTTGTATGGGACTCCTCAACAGTGCGCATCCACGGTCCCGACTCTCCAGATTCGAACACAGGACCTATAGATCTCGCGCGCGAGCACTTAACATCTATACCACTAAGCCGGAATCCTACTGTGTTAATGTCTAACTTCAACTAATCCACGAAATTAAGCCACCGACCACCATTGTCTTCAGTGAGTTACTATCTGATAACAGACCTGGTTGAACTCCATTAGTCACCACTTATCACTATAAATCCAGGAAATACCTCTTGAAGCCAGTCACTAACGACGATATGGTGAGTACTATCAGAATGAGGTTTTGTATATTTGTATAAACCTTTATCATGACTGAAAATTGACATACATTCTATAGTTATTTAGAATATAGATATATATTACTAAGTTTTCTTTTAAGTAAGTAGTACATAGTGGAGTAGTTTTTTAACTACCCACAAATTTTCGTATCGAAACATAGATGTATGAATAAAAAGTATTATTTTCGATCTTATTTTCAATATTTTGTTATCAATAAGACAAGATTAGAGTGAGTAAAATGGTTATTATCAAAGTTATTTCATTTTTTTCATACTACTTTATGTAAATTTCGACATGAAACATAATATTTTCTTAGAAATGTAGAAGTTTAGAAAGTATTCACTGGATAATAATTTTATTGTTGAATTCCGTGTTCTTTTAATAGTTGTCGTTCCGAAAGATCAGTAGACGTTTATTACACTAATGGAATTGTAAAGATTGATGAACTTTATGGTTGACATCATACATTTAATAGGGCCCTTCATTTTAAAGTCAGTTAGATCGGACGACGTTATTGACGGGCTCACCACTTTTGTGGCTTGAGATCTGTCTCCAATTAGATGGTACGATTGTTGTTATCGACTTAATCCGCTTAAGTGAAAAACGGGATTAAATAAGGTAGGTGTGAGAATACACTTTTGAATACGTTTATTTTGTACACTTATTGATTTGAACAGACAATCAGAGGAATAATGCGACAAGAAGAGAGCGGCGCGAAACGACGCGCAGTAGAGATGGCGTGTGAGCCAGCTCTATTTATTCAAGCGTTAATCAATATTTATAGTCACACAAAAGTACGCTACCTACATGTGATGAGTAGGATAAGATGTACACACACACATAGGCTCATATAAAAATAGTCAGAGTTAATAAGCGTATAATTAACAAGGTCAAAATGTGACTTAAGAAGGATCAATAAGTTGGCTTGTCCAGAGGCTAGAATAAATTATATTGGCTCAACATAGTAACCGACACTACATATATATATATATATATATATATATATATATATTAAACTGAATTAGATAAACAGTTAAAACCAGAAGCTACGAGATAGCTGTTTCATCCTGATATGAGACTACGCACCCTATAAAGAACCTAACCCAATACTTTAATGTCTCGTAGTAAGTATCTAGCTTTCAGACCAATAAGTTATCTGGTTTAGGTATCTCAGTTATTGTACAATGCAAAAGATCATCACTTGCACTGTGTACTTACATACGATCAATTAAAGAAAATAAGTGAATAATTTTCATAGGGTAGAACTGTATCATATTGTTGTTACTGAACTATATAACAGACTAGGATTCAACATTCAGTAGTTATATATACCATTTTGATAGATTTAATCTGAAAATTTCAAGTTCAACTTTAATGAAGCATCGTGATCTGATGTGATGGAAAGAAAAGTCAATTTTTGATTGAATTACTCATAATTAGTTTTATTCAACATTGACATCCGTTTTGATTCAACGTGAGGATCATTCAATGTAGTAATTGATTTGTTTTCCCAGTATGATATTTTCTTCTGTATAATATACGATATTCTTGTATTCACTTGACATGAACTAGGCTCAATAAGTGATTTGTTATAACTGAGTATGTGATCTAATCCGCATTATTAATCAAAATGGATGTACAATCAATATATAAACCAGTGTATTTTAGACTATTTTGATTCATTTATTATTATCATCATTATTCATCGTCGTCATAGTGTTTTGGGGCTAATAATCTTCACTTATATCAGTCTTGTGTTCTTACTTTCGCATAGTGGGAATTGCCGAAGTCCCTCGTTCCGAGTATAAATGACCAGCGTTTTTCGGCACAATAGTTGCGACGACTGAATATAACATGATCAATAGTCAGTTTATCCAAGTTCTTACGACTTTTTTGTCACTAAAAGTACTTTATAGAACAATACAATAAACTGAATACATTACAGGAGAATAATGTACAATTGGTAGTTTGTACTAAAAAATGATACGGTAAAGAGCACAAATGTTTTGCGAAAATTCTGCTTAATTCTAATCTGATACAATTTTTGTTTAGTTGGATAAAGGAACATGAAACTTAATTCATGTAAGTTAGATTATAAAAATAAGTATCATCAATATGTACTGAATAATTCATCGTTAAGCAAAACATAAAGAAAGGGTAACATAGATAATGGCAAGTGTAAATGATTTTACATGAGCTAAGTCGATATCTGACAAGTTCAGTCACAAATGTACCTGAATGTTAGATTAAGTATTAAGACTCATAGTTGAGATTGACTTTATATTCAATCGACTTATTAAATAATTCTCACTACTATGTAATTTTACTTACATCATAAAATTTCATACTTATCAAACTTATCAGTAGTATTATTTTAAGAAATACGTTTCAGATATTAGTTATTAGTAGAATTTATGTAAAGTGTTTCATTTTGATGATATTCTAACTAATAATCAAATCTATTACTCGAAATTACGATGTTGATTACTTGGTCAATAGATAAGAGTATACATTTTGCTCCTGCTGATATCAAGCACTGCTAAGGTCATCCATTTTTAGTTTGTTGGCTCTTTGAAATTATATTTTGATTTTGAGATGTAGGATATTTGTTAGACAGGAAAGATGTTGGGTTCTCTGATTTTCATGGAATATGAAGGAATATTTTATAATAGTTCACGTGTCAAAATGGACTCAACACTTTGGTCCTAATTTGGTGTGCGTTACTTATATTAACAGATATAAGTAGTATGTAGCATTAATCTAAAGTGGAATCCCCGCGAGCAGAAGATCGAGATGATTGAAATGAAGAGAAAAGAGAAGATAACTGAAAACAATCAAGATGACCTCAGGAATGAAGAAAGAATGAAGCTTGTAAGGGACAATTCAAAGATGTGCAAATGATGTATTTAATGAATGATTTTCACACTTTACTAAACCACTCTGTGATTTTGCATTCAACAGTAAATCGGTTATCCTTATCTAGTCTTCGTTCACTACACTAAAACTAAACACTATACGATCATATTCAGTAAATATTTGATCAGATCAGTAACACAATAAAGGGGAGTCCTACAGGAGGCTAGTCACGGCTCGTATAGCTCAGTGGTAACGTCTCTGACTGTGAAGATGGGTGACACGAGATCAAATCCGCCAGGGAGCATCAGTTCCCTCAAGATTACAGGTACACCTTGCTGACGAGTGCCAAGTAGCACGAAACCCGGGTCCAGGGTTTCCTGTTGACTACCTCCAACCACCATCTAAATCTCAATACATAGTGCCCGCAGTGTCGAGTCATTTTACACTTGATTGATATTTTCGGAAAAATATCCATATGATAACGAAATTTGATTAAAATTAGTGATGACATTGAAAATCAATCATCTCTAAATACATTTACACTAAAAATGTTAAGCATTAACAATGTTGTATGCCACCTTACTTGTCTAGGAGTTAAGTGTTCATGCGTGAGACCAAAGACAGTGGATTCGATTGCTGTTTACGGGGTCGTGGATGACCACGGCTGAGTCCCATGATAGGAAGAAATGGCCATCCGATCTTTCCAGTTTTTCAGTGGTTGTCCAACTAAGATCAATTCGTAATTTAAACTGTAGGAAAACTAACTGGTTGATAAAGTGTTGTAAGGCGCTTTAGTACTATGATGAAGCCAATTTAAAAATAATTACGGAACTCATATATCAGTATAAAAATATTTAAAAGTTGTTTATTTATATGTTTAATGATCTAGTGATGTTCCGTTTGTGACAAAGCTGAATCACATAAGAAAAGTTCATAATGATATCAGTGCCTACTTCATGTGGAAGTGAGTTTTTCACTCAGTCCAGCATAAAATCAATTTGCTCTGGTAAATTTGTTTGTGATTGATTGTCTCTATATACAAGATAAACAAGTAATTTGTAAATAAAGGAAATCAGGAGGAACTGTTTTAAGGCGTGTGAATTAAACTGAAAAGAGCAATTCCACAATAACTAGGTACTAATGTTATCCAGAAAGATAATAAATGCTCCATAATTATGATATAGAGCTGACAATATAACACTAACTAAGGTATTTATTTGAAAAGCAATTTTTCTCTATCATTTCTGTAATAAATCTTAAATATATTTTTGATTTTTTAAATAACGTTTTTAAAAAGAAGCAGAATGGATTCTAAGCAAAACAGAACATATCAGTATGGGGATTTGTAGAGACTGCAGTATTTTCATGGTTGAATTAACGATTCCATCTAAGCTAGTTCATCATTGAAAACCTGGAAGCACTGGATAGCCATTTCGTCCACTTATGGGACCCCTCAGCAGTGTGCACGCACGATCCCTCAGGTGGGACCATAGATCCTTGGTTTGACGTCCGCGTGCGGGATCGTCGAGCGCACTGATAAGAAGTTTCGTATTTGGACGAAACGACTGTCCAGTGCTCTCAGGTTTTCAGTGGTGGTCTAGCTTAGATCGACTCGTGAACTCAGCTGTCAAAACAGAATAGGATTTACAAAATTTGGTAGACGTTGTGTACAGTTTATAGAAGTTTTAATGTAGTAATAATACCATTACCAATAATAATAATAATAATAAACTTGGTTTAGCCTGATACTTGAATATATCATTTTACATTGATATAATGTGAATAGTTGTATCATGCACCAACAATTTTGTTTATCAATATAAATTATATGCTCACTGATCTGTTGATTATTACTGCTAATGCTATGTTTTCCATTATTAATCTTATGGAAATGTTCATTTCTCACAGTTGACAAACACATTGTAAACATTTAAACTGAAATCAATTAGGTACAGTTAGGGTACTTTGACCTTTCGGATAAAATTATGAATATTATTATTTATTTACTCATACCAACTTGATTTTGTCCATTAATTAATGTGTATTCTACAATCAAATAGATAGATAATGTTATCTGAAGATATTATTATTTGATCTAGTCACCTTATTCAGAAATACGAAAAGGGAATCATAGAAGAAATTAAACACCATTATTGCTTATTGTTATACTCGTTAACTTGAATGCTATTACTGATTTGTCTTACTCGGAACGGAACGAAGAATCAAGGATTCAGAGACTCGATAGGCTTGCTAGGTTTGAAGCTATCACGAGTTCACCTAATCGGCTAACGGAAACAAGACCAAAGACCAGTAAGCTAGCTATTGATGCGTCCCAGACCCGCTAAATAGAGGGAAAAGTCCAAGCTTGGAATGGGAAGTATATTATGCAAATTAGCCAGAAACGAGTGATAACAACAAACAAAATTCAAAACGTATATATACAGTGCAAAACCGTCCTTGGGGAGAGTTACCAAACAGCATACTAAAAGATACAACGGACCAATAGCATTTAAGATATTTCCCAGTGGGAAATACGACATGAAGGTGACAAAAGCGCCTTTGGCTCGAAAACAAAAAAGTTAGGTCCTTTCCCAAGTGAGTTCTGGGGATCAAACGTCCTTAACACTTATAAAACAATATCCTTAATCACTAAATAAACTGATGCGTACAAGACTACTGAATTGAATTAGCTATCATATATATTTAAAAATAAAATAAAGTCTGTTTTTATAGGCAAATATGGATAGTGGCTAGCTGTGGAATCGAGGACGTGCGTTTCGTCCTATTTAGGACTCGTCAGTTGGGTTTACCTGCATCTCAAAGTTGATGTTTACTCTAGGACCCAAATCCCAAATAAGACTAAACGTACGTCCTGAATTCCATCACTAACCATTATCCATCTTTGTTTATAATGTTTATGAATCAAAGCAATATCTAAGCAATATGTACAGTATGCACATATACCAATAAGTGATTGATAAATTACAATCCTAAGCATCAATGAGAAGATTCAAGTAAACAATAACAAACGAATTGAAAAGCTGTTTTTATTTCAACGCCTCGATTTTTTTAATTATCTACTATAACAGTAACTCATGAATATCCTGTATCCTTTATCTAGGATGTTATAAAATATTATCTTCATGAAGTAATTCAATTGTATCAAATAACTGAGCATGACTTCAGTTTCTTTTTAACTTACATTATATAAAGAGTATAATATTTCACTCAAATGTAAATGATATAACTTACTAATTGTATTTAGCAATGAAATATGTTGACCATTGTATTTATGTCAAAATAATCAATATTTATAAATGACTAGTGCTATGGTAGTTGATTAGCAGTAGAAAATAGAATAGAATGCCAGGAATAATAGATATAAAAAGATCTTCATTAATTGTTATATATCATTTATTTTCATTCTCGGTTTAGGTAGAATAAAATCAGTTTTTGAAACTAAATCTTGTTAAGCAATGATGGGTAGTGGTCAGCAGTGTAATCCAGGACGCGGGAAGATACAAGCCAAACAATACGAAGTGAATTTAAATTCACCCCGTTACACAAGCGAGTGGCTATCAGGACTCAGTAGCTGAGTCGATAACGCGATGGCGTATGAAGCGAATGGTACTGGGTTCGAGTCCCAAAGTGAGCATCAACTCTGAGATGCAGGTACATCCAGCTGACGAGTCCTAAATAGGACGAAACGCACGTCCTGGATTCCACTGCTAGCCACTATCTACCATTGCTTACAAAAAGCCTATGAATTAAGGCAATATCGAGAAATACGCACAGTAAGCACATATGCCAATAACAGACTGATCAATTACAGTCTTATACCTCACTGGGAAGATACAAGCCAAACAATACCAAGTGGATTTAAATCTTGTTAGTTCGAATCTTACTTGAAATGTTACGTACCGAATAACTGCAAGTATATCTCGTTGACAAATGTCAAACAGTATAAAAATTATATGCACAAATTCTTAAAGATAATTTCTAACCACTTTGAATCAAGTCATACTCATATTGTTTTGATTTAAAGCTTTGTTTCGTCACCAGTGGAGTTCAACCAGGTCTGTTGTGAGATATCAGCTCACTGAAGACAACGGTATATCGTGGCGCCACTTCGTGGATTGGTTGAAGTTAGACATTAACACCGTTGGATGCCGGCCGGCTCAGTGGTCTAGTTGGTTAAGCACCAGTTATGTTATTTTCTAGTATAGGGGTTGTGGAGATTATTAAGTATTTGATTGAGATCATGAACCGATTGATGCCAGACCACCACAATTGAAGACCTCATTATCAATTCATTCTATAAGGATTTCACTGTTATTCAACTGAGACGAACATCTTTAATATGAATTGTTTAAATCTACTAACTTAGCTGTTCATAAACCAGTGTATTAATGATTTATATTAAGTTATGTATTTCTATATAAGAAATCGTAAAATGCTTTCAAGAAATAAGATAATTCATTACTATAGTTATTACTTACTTATTTCAATGTTCAAATTATTATCCACTGTTTATTACAATACTCTAGTGAATGGTTTATTCAGGAAAAATGAAAAAATTTTTTTTCATTTATATTTAATTTAGTAGTCAAGGTGATTTATAAACCTGAATTTAAATTCGAATATCTATTGGAGAATTGAAAAGAGATAGTAAACGCCCAATATATTTCTCCTTTCGAGTTCTTTCATTTGAAATTGTAAATATAAATTATGATAAATAATGATGTCAATCTTGTTTTCATTTCATCGAATTCATTGGTTAGTTTTAAAGGTCATTTGTACCAAGTACAATAGTCGTTTTGTTTCAATTATGTATTTGTATTCATTTGCTAAACTAAATACACTAAGTGTATAGATATATATATCAAACAATACACTTGGTTTTATATTAACGAATGATAAACTCATAGGTTGAGACCTAATCAAGTGAGGTTGAATTCCTGATGAGGTGCAGTATTGAGGAATCTTATGTCAGGATAAATAGATGTCTAGTGTTCCCTGGTTATAAATAGAACCTTAAATAAGATTAGTCTGTGAAGAATACAGTCTATAATTTTGATAAATCTCTATTTTGAACTTCTACAACTTGGAATGGGTTTGTTTAATTTGATGACCTGGGAAGATTATTCATTTTGACATTAGTTTCCGTAACCAGCTAACGTCAGTTCGAAAACAAAAAAACCAAAAAGAAGAAGGAAAACTGGATAATTGTTTTAACTTCGTTTTAGATTCTTATATTAGAGTAACCTTAGGAAATTCAGGCCTTGTTCAGGATAAGATACTTTTAGACCACTGAGTTGAAATTATTGCCTAAACTTTCCAACATCAATCAACTTTCAGTATGGACAAATGAGCATCCAATGCCGTCGGTATTGGCATAGCATACTGATAATTTAGCACATTTCGCTTTGAATGAAAGTACGTTAACCGTTGAGCTACTCAGTTCGGAAATCACTAGCTTGTCCGACTGGTACCGATTATGTTTTATAATAGTTAGTATATTGTCATTGTTGATGTAAAAGGTCATAATTGATCACCTCCTTTCTATCTACGTATACCGTGAAAGGATTGATTCGACATAAACATCTTGTCACAAGTTTTTATCAAAGTCCCGAATTTAATAACTTCAAGTAAATTTACATTAAAAAAACTATGCTTAATGGTCGTTAACGAATTGGCACTATAGTTATTCTTCATTTAAATTAACGACAATTTTATCCTTTAAAATATTTCATTTGTAAACAATTACTACACGATCTACACAGAGAGGGAAACGATTATCATAAAAAGTACTATTCTTCTTATTGATTTACAATTATAAGCGAATAAAAGAAATTTATCTGTCAGAAACGTATTGTCAGTCAATGTTTATCACTTATCATAATAAAGGTTGTTAGTTGGTAGAATGTTAGCCTCATATTTCCTTGAAACGTATTCAACAGTCATTCTATAGACTTCAGATTAATGTATTTATTCAACATTCTGAATCAGAATATTAGGCATACAGTTTCCTGATTAAAAACAAAATATAATCCAACTAAAGTGAATTAAACAATCATTTAATCAAACATTGATAATTTCAATATACAGTGTAATCGATTACCCACCTCAGTTAAACTTGATGAATAATGAGAAGTATGAAGTTGACGCTGTGGTGGTCGGTATCCGATATAATCCTTAACTTCGTATACAGTTCGTCTTGCTAACCGTTCTATATAACGTCCCAACGGTATATTAATCAGAAGGCAAATACGAAGTGTTGATTACGTTTATTGCGAGACCACACACATATATCCAAAATTACAGATGCATTAACGAGCATTAAGAGTTGTGCCGAACAGCAAACAGGCAAGCAAGCGACTGAGCGAATATAAGTAATCGAGTACAATCAAACGAGCGAGAAAGCAGAGTCAGCCATATGAATAACATGGACATATATATAGCATGTGAAATTAATGAGTAATCGAATCAAACAAGCGGAGTGAATAAATGCGTAGGCCGTAAGCAATATTCAGGCATGCATATTTCATACAAGCACAAAATAATAATAAGGGTACAATAAATTGTTATAGTACGGATGGCTTTGTCCGCTAAATAAGTTAGCTAAAGGGCTTAACTGAGTTAAATGAGAATAAACCCATTTGCACGTGGGTCGCTATAACGCCCTTATGCATTCGACTATGTTGTACGAATATTTAGCTTGCTTACTTGCTCATATTATCCCTCGTAGGCTGACAACCAGCAATCTCCGACCTACTCTATCGTGATCTCTGCTTTCCAGCCGTCACTGAGTGCTGGGAGCTGATTGTTCTCTCCCATAGTAGGCTGTTGCTGGTGGCATTTGGTCGACCGACATTGTGTATGTTGAGTAGACAATCGTTTATAAAAAATTGTACATTTTTGATAATAGTTGTGGTAGTTCTCGAAGTTTCAGCTCCCTAAATTAGAACTGTCATGACATTTATATTGAAGTATGAGACTTTGATACTGGTTGAAAGTTATTTTGAGTTGCATATGTTCTTCAACTGTAGGAATGCTGTCCTTGGTTGCCAATCTTCGTCTTTACGTCCGCATCCGATCCTCCTTGTACATCGATGACGCTACTGACCAGATATGTGAAAGCTTCCACCTCCCCAAGAGTTTCTCCATCAATTGTGATTGTGTTAGTATTCTTCATGTTACATTTGAGGATCTTGCTTTTTCCATTGTGTATGCTGAGGCTCACTGATGCAGAGAGTTCTGCTACACGAGTTGTCTTGATCTGAATTTGTTCGTGTGTATAGGAGAGAAGATCTAGGTCATCTGCAATGTCCAAATCATCTAGCTGCATCCAAGCTGTCCATTGTATTCTTGCTTCCCGTCAGAAGTCGAGGTCTTCGTAATCCAGTCAATCACTAGAAGAAACCGGAAGGGGGAGAGTAAGCAGCCTTGTCTGATTCCGGTCTTTAATTAGAATGTCTGTCAGCTGTCCTCCATGTACCACTTTGCAGTATAGTCCGTCGTCTGAATTCCGTATGATGTTGGCAATTTTATCAGCTACTCACTCCGTAGTTTCGAAGAAGTTTCTATGATGTTCTCCTATCAACACTGTCATAGTCAGGGAAGTTGATGTATAGTGACGAGTACCATTCAACTGATTGTTCAACAATGATCTGTAGTGTCGCAATTCGGTCTGTGCACGACCGATTTTTAAGGAATCCGGTCTGTTGACCTGGGAGTCGATCATTCATTGAAGCATTCGTTCGGTTCAACCACACAAACTGTTTCTTCCACTTATAGTAGTGTGATGCCTCTGTAGTTCTTGCATTTGCCGAGATTTCCTTTTTTTGGTATTTTGATGAAGCATCCTTCATTCTCCTTATGATTGCTGAATTAATGGAGGAATAAAATAGGAAATTTGCGTTGAATCCGATTGGTAATCCTTTCCGCTATGTCACAATACATGTAATCTAATTAATTTTCATATAAAAAAATTTCAAAATTCTCTTACTAATTGATTTAATGATAAGTTTCTTTTGTTTTGGATTACTGTATTTCATACTGGGAAGTCCTACGTAAACGAATAAAATAGCTTTTAGAAATCATGATTTCAGTCACCAAATAGCTCTATAAAGATGTTTACTCCTTATTGTTTGCAATACTGTGTTTTCTCTCACCCATCTATTACCTATGAATTTCAGTTTGAAATGATGTCCATAAAAATTGTTATAGAGCTGTAGAATTTGTTCTTATACTGAAGCGGGATCCAAACTATGTTTTTTGTCTTTGTCAGTGTTGGTCAGTTAAATAAACTTGTATTGGAGTGTTGGTATTCTCACTCAGGATCAAACTTGATAATCATAGCTTTACTAATCTAGGGACTTATTTACTATATGAATGAGTTAAGACAGCTATCACTTAATCGACAGATGAAAATTTAAACTCATCAAGAACAAAGATACTTGGGAAACGCAATAAATTTATTTTGTTTGATTGTTTTTTCTTCAGTTACATATATAAGTCGCAGGTTTCTCGCGATTGGGACTGTTTATTTTGCATACTTAACAATAATTATGAAATAAAATATGCAGATCAACAAACAGATCATCCTATCATAACTAAAGGAAATATCAATAACTACAACTAGATTTTCGAGACTATTTGGAATAGACGTATCTTATAAGCCAGTTAAATAAGACTGATCAAACAAAAAAATGACAAAATAATGCGAGGTGAACGTTATCTACTAAATAAATTTCATCAGCTGTGAAAAACAATATCGGACAAAATGATCTCCTTCTTATTCTTCATTCACATAAACGTCAAATAGCTGTCAAGCACTCCTACTTAACCTCACTTAAATTCATGTACCTGTTTAACAAAGAAAATATTAAAGTCTTGGTAAGGATAATACAAAAACCAGAAAATTGTTTTCTACAAACTTCACACTAAAGTCAGTCATCAATCTCTAAACTTATTAAACTAGATCCAAGTTCCGAACTAATTAAAAAAAGACATAAACAACTACACTATCAAGAATCAGGACAAAGAGTAAATAAATCAAAACAGTTTCATTATTTGTATTGGTTGTTTGAGATTGCAATTGATTAGTCTCTTATTGGCATATGTGCATCTTATGCGGATTGCCTCGATAATGCCCTAAATCATAAGCCTTATAAGCGTCCTGGATTCCACTATTACCTACCATACATCTGTGTTTACAATCGAAGCAATTATGAAAACAGTGATAGAACAGGTAATGACAACAACCAGGTAAACTGAATGTCAACAAAACTGGCTGTTGGATATATATTGAGAAATTTTAGTAGTTTACTTCTATCTGAAGTTTGTGTTGACGATGTTGTCTAGAAAGGCAATGAAAACTACATGAATAAGCTATTCAACTCAGAAATCATCTTCACCAATATCATCACATCATTTAGATTTGTCATTATTATTTAGTTTTAAGTGACAGTTATCGTATTTGATAATAAATTATATTTTGAAAAAAAACTTTAT